AGTCACCCTAAAGTCAATGATTTCACAAGTTATCCTGAAGACAGTGCACTAGTTAAGACTCCCATAGCTGGAACAGGGAGAAATTGGAAGGAAGTTCTGTTCCAGCCATTATGAAGAGCAAAAACATTAAAAAGAAATAGTTATTATTGGCTATAATAATTGCAGGCTTTCCTGATGGCTCAATTGGCAAAGAATCTTCCTGCAATGCAGGAGATTGCCAACAATGCAGGTGACTACCTAAAATGCAGGAGACTATCTGAAATGCAGGAAGTGTGAGTTCATCCCTAGTTTGGTAAGATCCCCTGGAGAAGGAAATGAAAACCTATTCCTGTAGTCCTGCCTGGGAAATCCCATGGACAGAGGAACTTGGAATGCTACCCCATGGGGTTACAAGAGTTGGACACAATTTAGCAACTAAACCACCATCACTATATTTATTGCAGGAAGTTCTCAGTGGCAAGCATTAAAAGGTTAGAGACTTTTCACCTGAAAGAATGATAGGAAAGTACACAAGTATTAAGTTTCTCAGGTGACTAATCCCAAAAGAAAAATACAGTATCAGGAAAACAAATCTCAGCTGTAGAATTCGAGGTTCAAAGCCCAAATTCTGGCTTGAAACAAAGTTGTGAGAGTAGATTGTAAGTGACTTCCAGCAGGTACTGGGAGATGCCTGGGGACATTGTCTTCTTCAAGCTGAAGGGGGAGTAGATCCTTTCTTGACCTCAGTGCAATTTGTCACCGGTTACTATGTAAATGCAATCTGAAGCAGCTCTGTGAACAAACCAATAATTCTGTGTAAATCAGTCACTATAGCTGGATCCATCCATAGCTTTTAATCTGCATGTTTCATTCACAAGAAGGCAGCATGATTGGATTTTCAGTTTTATACAACTAAGGATTTTTCTATTAATGGGGAAAAGTTATTTCATGCCTTTTCCTTCAGTGATTTCCCACTAAAGTACTGACCACAAATATGTCTATCAGGCTGTAACTGATAGATCACACTTCAATCCTTTCCTTAAAACTAGTATTAGTAGTATATGACTTTTCATACCACTATTAAAATGCATTATAACAGTTTGAAATTACTCAATGAAAGCTAAACATCAGATTGACTATTCTTGGAGAGATTCTTTGCTATGATCTTGTTTAGTCACTAAGTTGTGTCTGATTCTTTCATAACCCTATGGACTGTAGCCTGTCAGGCTCCTCTGTCCATGGTATTTCTCAGACAAAAATACTGGAGTGGGTTGCTATTTTCTTCTCCAGGGACCATCCTGATCCAGGAGTCAAACCCACATCTCCTGCATTATAGGTGGACTCTTTACTGCTGAGGCACCAGAGAAGCCTATAATCTTGTCTTACAGACAATCAATCATACATTTTGATAGTTTGAACCTGTGTCTAAAATGACCAAAATAACAAGAAAGCAGTTAGCAAGTTTCTATATTAATTTTAGTGGCAATATCAGCTTACTCTATAGCTGTCATATAATCATTTTGGATTATTGATGCCAAAAGCACATAAATAAACTAGAGGCAATGTGGCAGTGACTGGATGGACAGGTGATTCTAGTTCTAGTTCTGCCATTCACCAGCTGTGAAGCTTTTTATAATTTGTTCAATATAATACAATTGTTGGACAAGATAAAAATCATTCAAAGGGGGCAATCACCTTCTGCTTAATCAGTAAATATTGAGAAGCAAGAGAATTTATAATGTTCTTCCCACTGTGATGCTTACATAAGTCAGTCCAGTAAAATCAACCTGAGTTATTACATTTTAGGACTAAATTGTATAAACTATAAAAAATGATTGATTCTATTAATTTTATCTAACAGATACTCAATTTTATTTTTGGTAACATACTCTATAGACCTCTGACCATTACTCAAGCCAATACAAATGTAAAGTACACTAATACTATGCTGTTTTGATTACTGTAGCTTTGAGGTACAGTCTGCAATCTAGGAGAGTGATATCTCCAGCTTTGGAGATCTCTAGTTCTTTTGCCCGAAGATTGCTTTAGCAATTCTGGGTCTTTTGTAATTCCATATAAATTTTAGGGTTATTTATTCTAGTTCTGTGAAAAATACCATAGATAGTTTGATGGTGCTGCTTAGCCACTCAGTTGTGTCCAATTCTGTGCAACCCATGGACTGTAACCTGACAGGCTCTTCTGTCCATGGAATTCTCCAGCCAAGAGTACTGGAGTGGGTTGCCATGCCCTCCTCCAGGGATCTTCCAACCTAGGGATTGAACCCAGGTTTCCTGCATTGTAGGCAGATTCCTTACCACTGAGCCACCAGGGAAACCCTAGATATTTTTGCATATTGCTTTGGTTAGTGTGGTCTATGTAACAATAATTCTTCCGATCTGAGTGCATAGAATGTCTTTGCATTTGTTAGTGTCATGTTCAGTTTTCTTCATTAGTGCTTTAGTTTTCAAAGTATAAGTTTTTTGCCACCTTAGTTAAGTTTGTCTAGATATTTTATGATTTTGATGTGATTTTAAAATGCAATTTTAAAATTTCTCTCTCTGACATTTTATTAGTGTGGACAAAAGCAATAGATTTCTTTATATTAATCCCATATCCCACAACTTTTCTGAATTAATTTTTTTTTTTTTTTTTTTTTTTTTAGTTCTCATAGCTTTGGTGTGAAGACTTCAGGGATTTCTATATAAAGTATCATGTCATCTGCAGATATTAAGAGATTTACTTCTTCCCTTCCAATTTGGAAGCCTTTTATTTCTTTTTCTCATCTGATTTCAATGATTAGAACTTCTAATACTTTGTTCAATAAAAGTGGTGAAAATGGAAATCCTTGTTTTGTTCCTGATTGTAGAAGAAACACTTTCAGCTTCTCACCATTGAATATGATGCTACCTGTGGTTTTGCCATGAACTGACTTTATCAAGCGGAGATGTGCTCCCTCAATACCTACTTACATGAGAGTTTTTAACATTAATAGATGGAGAATTTTGTAAAACTTTTTTATGCATCTATTGATATGATCATGTGATTTTTATTCTTTCTTCTGTTAGTTTGGTGTATCAAAGTGATTGATTTGTAAATTTGAACTATCATGTCCCTGAAATAAATCCAACTTGATCATGGTGTATGATACTTTTAACATATTGTTGGATCAAACTTGCTAATATTTTATTGAGGATTTTTACATCTACAGTTATCAAAGATATTGGCTTGTAATTCTTTTTTTGTAGTGTCTTTGTCTAATTTTGGTTTCAGGGTTATATTGGCCTTATAGAATATATTTGGAAGTGTCTGTTGTCTTCAAGTGTTCTGTCCTCTTCCCCCTGTGAAATTATCTGGTCCAGGACTTTTTATCAGAAATTTTTTATTACAAATTTAATTTCCATACTAATGGTCAGTCTGTTCAAATTGTGTTTCTTCTAGATTCATCTTGGCAGGCTGTATGTTTCTAGAAATTTGTCTACTTCTTCTAGGTTATCCACTTTGTCGGTATACCATCATTTGAGGTATTCTGTTATGATTCCTTTGATTCCTTGTATCTCTGTGGTGTAAGCTATTATTTCTCTTCCTCATTTCTTATTTGGCATATTTGGGCCCTCTTTTCATCTTGGTGAGCTTGGCTTTAAGTTTATCAATGTAATTTATCATTTGAAAAATCAGCTCTTGGTTTCATTGATCTTTTCTATTGTTTTCTGTTCTATATTTTGCTTATTTTCTCTCTGATCCCCCCTGCTCCCCCCCACCCCCCCGCCAACTGCCACTTCTGCTGAGTTTGGGCTTTGATATTTCTTTTTTTTGTTTTTGTTTTCTAATTCTGTTAGGGGTTGGGTTAGGTTGCTTACTTGAGATTTTTCTTGCTTCTGGAAGAAGGCCTGTATCACCAAATGTTCCCTCTTAGAACTGCTCTTGCTAAATCCAATAGATTTTTGGAGTGTTGTTTTTTCATTTTCAATTTTTGAGGTATTTCTTTATTTCCTCTTTGATTTTCTTATTAACAAACACACTTTCTTTTTCTTAGCTGTTGTTTAGTCTCCATGTATTTGTTCCTTTCCCATTTTTCTTTCTATAATTGATTTCTATCTTTAGAGAAGTAATAATGGTGTCACAGATGATGAAGATACAGAGAATGATGGACTTCTTGTCCTCCTGCCATCCATTCTCACAAATAAAGAATGATTACCCTTTAGTTGAGTTTGGGTAACACATAAATTAATGTTATCAGGTGTAAATTTTAAAAAAAAATTAGAAGTTCAGAAACAAATGTCATCAATTGGGAAATAGTTAAAGAAGTAATAGCCCAGCTATTTAATGAACTATTATGCTGACATCAGAAAAAATGAATTAAGTATACAAGTGCTGATAAAAAATATGTTCAAGATTTATTATCAAGTAAAAAGAACAAAAGTGGTTGTAAAAGAGAATATGTAAAATAATCCAATATGTCTTATCAAAGGAGAGAAGTAGAATATTTATGGAAAGAAACACAAAACACTTTAAAGAAGGGTGACACCTGAGGAGAGATGCTGAGAGTACAGGGATTGAGGTATAGGACACTGTTATTTTTATCTAATGCACTTCTGCACAACTGATGTTTTATCATAAGCACAGATTACTCTCCTAATTAAAATAAAGTTATTTAAACTCAGTGTGGTTGATTTGTTGTGGCCATGAAATTGTTCTTTGCCTTAATGTTCCCCTTACTATTTTGCTTTTGCGTGTTTTTCTATCTGTTTTTTCTTGCCCGGTGCACTATGATCATCATGTGTTTTTTTGCTGCTTTTCGCACTCTTATTTTTTTTTTGCTTTTTTTACTTATGTTTTGTTTCTAATACGTGTTTTTTTTTGTGTTTTCTTGCCTTATTTTACAGGGTGTGTCTCTTTTGTATTCAGTCTTTTGAATTTACTGGTTCTCATCCTGTTCATGGGTTTCTCTGTGCATTTCTTGTGCATTGTTTTGTCATTCGCTTCTGTTGTGTGCTATGTTCTTTTTGCCCTCTCCGCCATGCTTACCAAGTGCTTCCAGAAGGGTCATCGTTCCCAAAAGCACTGAAAGAGCCATCTTCCCTCTGATAGAGCAGTTCTCTCTGGTAACCTGAAGACAACAAAGCAGATCATCAATGTGATCAAGTTGCAATGAATGGAAGTTTCTGATCACGACTTCACATTGAGGGGACATGGGCAGACAATGGGAAAGAAGACATGAAGTCAAATAACACTGAATATTTTCCATATTATGTACTGTGGGGGATTAAGAACATCAGGACTTTCCAAGTAGAATGTACAAATTGAGAACTGAGATAGCCCCAAACTGAAATAAAATCAGAATACCATTACACAGCCAACATTTCTAGCCATTCAAAAGCAGGTAAAGTAAGGACTCTCCTGGTGCTCCATCAGCTAAGACTCTGCACTCCCAATGCAGAGGGCACAAGTTTGCTTCCTGGTCAGGGAACTAGATCCCACAGGCTGCAACTAAGACTTGGTACAGTCAAATAAATAAATAGATAAATAAATATTTTTTTTTAAATAAAGCAAGTAAACTAAAAAGTGGAGTACTTAAGTCTGGTGTTAACTACAATGGTTTCAATGCTTGTATGCTAAGTTGCTTCAGTCATGTCCAACTCTTTGCAACCCCATGGACTGTAGCCCGCCAGGCTCCTCTGTCCATGGGATTCTACAGCCAAGAATACTGGAGTGGGTTGCCATTTCCTCCTCCAGGGGATCTTCCCGACCCAGGGATCGAACCCAGGTCTCCCTCATTGCAGGTGGATTCTTTACTGTCTGAGACACCAGGGAAGCCCAATTCAATACAAAATAAGTAAGTTAGCCAACACTGACTGTGTGTCAGGAACTGGTCAAAGCCCTTTACAGGTATAACTCTGGTACTCCCACAACTCTATGATTATCCCATTTTTCAGAGATGAAGAGACAGGAACTCAGAATATGTCATGTGCAAGGTCACGCACTGGTAGGTACTGAAGTTAGGCACTAGCCAAGGTCAATCTGTTTCCAAAAGCCACTGCTTCCTACTAATTCACTAAGCTCTCAATAATTAATATATGAAAAGTCCTTTCCCGCTACCCCTCCCTCCAGGAACCATAAGTTCATTCGATGTAAGTCTGTTCCTGCTTTGTAAATAAGTTTGTTTGTATCATTTCTTTTTAGATTCCACATATAAGGGATGTCATATGCTATTTCTCTTTCTCTGTCTGACTTACTTCACCCAGTATAACAACCAACAAGGACCTGCTGCATAGCACGTGGAACTCTGCTCAATGTTACATGGCGGCCTGGATGGGAGGGGAGTCCAGGGAGAATGGATACATGTACAGGTATGGCTGAGTCTCTTCCCTGTTTGCCTGAAACTATCACAACATTGATAATCAGCTATACTTTAGTAGAAAATTAAAAATTTATATATATATATATAAAAAGTCCTTTGCACAGTACCTTTTACATGCTGTCAAAAAACAATAGACATCTCTCCCTAACATGGGTGTAGAAAATGACTTTCTAACCATCTAAATTTAAGAAAAAAAAAAAATTGACAACAGCAACAAAATTGTTTTAAACTTTCCCATGGCAAAACACTAGAGGCAAAGTTAAAAGACAGATGATAAACAAAAGGGAGGAGAGGAAGGGAAGGGGAGAAAAGGGAAGGGATGCTCCAGGTCCCCCCATCACTAGAGGAGGTGCTTCTGCGGAAAGATGGACCAGCCTGAGGTGAGGACCTAGTGCCTCCCTGAGTCACATCAGCAGCAGTTCCCCTAGATGGGTTACTGTGAAACCTTCAGAGAGATGAGATCAGCGCTTAGGGAAATCACCCCTCAGGTGGCTGACCTCCCACCATCGCCATTAATATCAACAACGGGCACAGTTCTTTCGCCAGGAGCAGTCAGCCCAGAGGAGGTGGATGACTCGCAGATAATCTCCAGGTATGGAGTGCATTTCCTGAGCTGGTTTAGGTGAAACCGAGACTCCAAGCCTCTAGCTGTGCTCCCTGGGCAAAAGAGGAGGGAACCAGAACCAAGTGGATCTCCAGTGAGACATCCTTCCCTGTCTGAAGCCACCCATGCATCATGAGAGAACCCATGGCTACTTGTTCTCCAAGCCATCCAATTCCATAAGAGAAACGACAGCACGCTTGGCTGTAAGGTTTATTGTTAGTATAGTAATCCAGTGTTCCAGGGTAGTCACCTAAATTGGAGACTTTTCATCTCCAGGCGAGAAAGGCAAAAACATGGTTTTCTCCAAAAGTTTATGAGGAAGTAAGTGTTTTGCCTTTACGTTCATAGTTTTATGAAGAGCTCTTGCATTAGAAAGTAATATATAATCAGAATTAACAGATGCTTCTAAAATTTAAAATAATGATGCATGAACTGTTGTTTATAAAGGGTCAGACAAGATACATACATTGCGGGTCATGAATTTTCTTTGGAATAGCCATGAATGTAAAATATTTACAATTTATCATAATAAAGAGGAAAGTACCACTCATAGAAGCACATAGAAAAGTAAAGTTCTAAACATAATTTGTCTTAGTTTATCACAAGTGCCACAATTGCATACAAATAGAAGAATTAAAATCAGCTATTTATGGCTGTATAAATATCTTTCTCTGGCAAAAAAAAAAAAAAAAACTGATTAAAATATTCTCTATACTAAAAGAAAAATATTCATTATCAACTTCCTTACTCTTTCTGACATGAAATGGACAGTGAGAACTTCACCAACATTTTCTTTTTAGCATTTTTACTATTGCCTCTAGCCATTCTTGTGAAGGCCAAATGCAGCATCAGAGTTCTGAAACCTATTATTCCCTGTCTTTATTTCAACAGAGAAAATATAATGTGTTTTCAACTACATTTGGTCTGAGTCTTACTTGAAAAACTGAGCTGCAGGAACTACAATTTAAATATTTGAACAAGTTTTCATTTTATGATTCTAGTTTTCTTTTTGACAGTAAAAGATACTTCATTCAATGATGCAGCTATTGTTTAGATCAAAAAAACTACAAGGTTAGGTCACAGGGCTCCTGGGCCAACCATGATTTAAGGAAAACCATGTGCTGTTCACAAATGATATTTAATAATATAAACATGACTTGTGTCAAAGCCACTTTAATCCCTTAAAAAAATTAAAACAACTATGGTATGTTTTTTAAAACTTTGGCAAACATGATAGCAAAGGAAAAACAGAGTCTCTGAAATGAGGCACTGATCTCATAATGAAAATCATGACACCAAGAAGTTTTTGTCCACTATTTTATAACTAATGTAATTTAGTTCATCATGTGAAAAGATGCATTTTTGAGGAGCTCACTGGAGAAGACTCTAGAGAGTCCCTCGGACTGCAAGGAGATCATACCAGTCCATCCGAAAGGAAATCAATCCTGAGCATTCATTAGAAGGACTGATGCTGAAGCTGAATGAAGCTCCAGTACTTTGGCCACCTAATGCAAAGAACTGACTCATTTGAAAAGACCCTGATGCTGGGAAAGATTGAGGGCAGGAGGAGAAGGGGACAACAGAGGATGAGATGGTTGGATGGCATCATCAACTCAGTGGACGTGAGTTTGAGCAAACTCCAGGGGACAGTGAAGGACAGGGAAGCCTGGCGTGCTGCACTCCACGGGGTCACAAAGAGGTGCACATGATTGAGCAACAACAATAGCTGGACTGATTCCCATCAGCCACTTCACCAGCTCAAAAGGTAACAGGTTCAAATCCCTAGTCACATTTCCTAGTTCATAAAAACCCGCCAGAGCCAAGTAGACACCGTGGTGGTAAGAAATAACCATGCATCGTGGAAACACCTGAGAGATCTTCCAGACTCAACCTCCACATTAGGGTGATCAACCGAAAGCCCAAAGAAGTGAATGCTGATACGGATGCCTTCACCTATTCTGCACATACTGAAGGGCCCAACCACGGAGAAGAGATTCAAGCAGTCCCCACTGTCAGGGAGTTTACCTTCTGGAGCAGGAGACAGTCAGATAATGTGGAAAAACAAGAACATTTTACATAATGTCAAGTGTGATGAAGAATATATTAAGTGGTATAATTTAAGAATATATTAAATGGCATAATTTAAGAATATATTAAATGGCATAATTTAAGAATATATTAAATGGCATAATTTAAGAATATATTAAATGGCATGATTTAAGTCAGAGCTACTGACTTAAGGGAAGGCCATTTTGCAGAAAACACCACCTGGGTGACCAGAAAGAGCCAGCCCTGGAAAGATCGGGGAGGGGGAGAGCACCCCAGGAGAAGGCAGGACAGGTGGAAAGACCCTGCGCACCGTGGACCTGGGGGTGCCTAGACACCCGGGACAGAGCCCCGGGGGGATAGTTGCAGGAGAAGTGAAAGAAGGGTCCGGTGTTCACTGAGGGCCTGCAAGCCCAGCCCGGGAATCCGCAGGAGAATTTAAGAAAGTCTCATGATCTTGACATTATCCAAAGATCCTTTTTTATTATAAAATATGCAGAAACTGTATTAAAGGAAGGTGAACAGGTTGGCTAAGAGTGTTATTTAGGAAGCCCTGGAGTACCTGGGGGCAGCAACATGTCAGAATAAAGCCATCAGCCTGGGATGGAGAGAGCGGAGGAATTTCACACTTGTTTCCAGAGGCAGAACAGACAGAATTTACTTGCTGACCCGAGACCCTATCTCCTAGTTTAGATGCAACTAAGTATATTATAGCTAACAGTGCCTGGGCATTTACTATGTGTTAAAATACTTCATTTAGTCTTCAAAACAGCCCTAAGAAGCGGGTACTTATTTACCCATGTCTTACTGGTGGAAAGACGAGGCTATGGAAACCAGCCCAGAGCAGGAGGTGCAGCTCAGAGCCCAGGGCTGACAGCCCCCACCAAGGCCAGAACCAGGGCTCCACCTCCCGTGCTGGGGGACTTGCCCATCTCACAGCTCCAAGATTCTTCATTCTGCCCACACAGCCTGTACTGCCCTCTGGCGGCTCTACGCCCTCTAACAACCAGCAAATGCAATGCAGCGCTGCTTTGAAACTGCAGTCTGGCACCTACCTTGCCGGGACAGGCGTGGGGGACCAGCACTCCTTTTAGAACAAAAAAAGAGGATACTGAGGATTTGGAGTGTTCATTTTTTAGGGCATCTGTCAATACTAACCCACAGCAAAGTGGCTAAGACAGAAACTCAAATTCTTAAGCCCTTAATGGGCTTCCCTTGTGGCTCAGCTGGTAAAGAATCTGCCTGCAATGTGGGAGACCTGGGTTTGATCCCTGGGCTGGGAAGATTCCCTGGAGAAGGGAAACACTACCCACTCTAGTATTCTGGCCTGGAGAATCCCATGGATGGGGTCGCAAAGAGTCGGATACGACTGAGCAACTTTCACTCCAAATGGTTCACACTAGAAAACTTTTTCTGTCTCTTTAAAGCATTGATATTTGATTGGCCAACATTCCAGAAACACATAAAATATGCAATTGGTGGCATTTTCTAAAATATTTCACTTTATTTTATTAGTTGTTGTTCAGTTACTAAGTCATGTCCTACTCTTTGTGACCCTATGGACTACAGCAGGCCAGGCTCCTCTGTTCTCTACACTCTCAAAGAATGTAATGTATCAAAGAATATCTCAAAGAATATAATATATCAAGTTATAAAGCACCAGTCTAGTGCCTCCATACTCTCTATTTGAAACCAGCCAAACTACATTTCAAATACAAGTCAGAATCTTGTCTTTAAAAGATGCAGCATTATGAAAAATAGTTTTCACTCATCTCCTTAACTATAACTATTACGGCGCTATGCCAACATCTCACCTGATTTTAGTGTGGCATCCACTATACCAAGAGTCCCTGGTACCACTGCTTCAACTTAATTATAAGATTAAGGCAAGCTTGTTAGTGATTTGGCTAACTTTTGCACAGTTAAGAATTAGAAAACTCAGGAAAGACATTATTTTAATGTGAGCTTTTCTTCCAGGTTCCCTCATTATAAATGGACACATTTATCCCAAACTAACTTCTGTGTAATAATGATAATAACTTACCCTGTTACCCTGTTTCCAATAAGCTTGCTTCTTGGAAAAAAGCAGCTCCTGTATTTATATATTTAAAATATGACTGAGTCACTTTAAAAATCAGCGGATTTTATCAAGCAAACATAGTTCATAGATCATGAAGGCCATTCCAGGTAGAGGACATGCAAAGATGCATTACATGAAGACCATAAGTACTTGGAAATCACAGAGGAAATGTCTTATTATATAAGTACCATTTCTCCTGAAACATTAATAACATGTGTTTTCTGCATACATGATAGAACGTTTGATATTTTTACCATTCTCTTTAAATAAATTAATAGCTAAACTGAAAAAAACACGGCTGATTCACAAACATATGCAGAAAGGAGAATAAGTTTTAAGGGGCAGCTCAAGGCAGAAAGTACCAATTGCTACATCTTTGAGAATTTCCTAGAGGACTGAAGGACCTGGGCATGAGATGTCATAAATTCCTGCAAAGTATCAGTCGCTCAGTCATGTCCAACTCTCAGTGACTTCGGGTACTATGGCCTGCCAGGCTCTTCTGTCCATGGAATTTTCCAGGCAAGAATACTGGAGTGGGTCATCATTTCCTTCTCCAGGGGATCTTTCCAACCCGGGGATCGAAACCGGGTCTCCTACACTGCAGATTCTTTACCATCTGAGCCACCAGGAAGCCTAAATGCCTGAAACACCTGGCTCTAATCTGATGGAAACTCTACCACCATCTCCTTCGCGCAGAAGTCAGGTCACACCCAGCCCTGACCCCAATCCCCGGCCTCCCTTAGGTCTGTCCTCCCACGCAGCCCCAAGCCTTGCACTCAGCCCGTGTCTGCCCACCTAGCCAGGGGGTGCTCAGGAAACTGACTGCAGCTCAGCTTCTTGGATCTAACATCTCACAACTCACTCTGGTCTAAACTGACACCCGAGATTCTAACCTCTGGCCTCTCTTTCCCTACAGAGGCCATGGGCCTCCCTTCCTATTTTTTCAGAACTCCCATTGAGACCTCTTGCACATTCGTCATACTGAAGAGTCTTGGCCCAATTCCTGGTCCTCCTCCATCCTCTCCTATTGCTTCCAATAACCTAAGAATACACAGAAGAACTGTACAAAAAAGATCTTCACAACCCAGATAATCACAATGGTGTGATCACTCACCTAGAGCCAGACATCCTGGAATGTGAAGTCAGGTGGGCCTTAGAAAGCATCACTATGAACAAAGCTAGTGGAAGTGATGGAATTCCAGTTGAGCTATCTCAAATCCTGAAAGATGATGCTGTGAAAGTGCTGCACACAATATGCCAGCAAATTTGGAAAACTCAGCAGTGGCCACAGGACTGGAAAAGGTCAGTTTTCATTCCAATTCCAAAGAAAGGCAATGCCAAAGAATGTTCAAACTNCCAACCTAGACAGCATATTAAAAAGCAGAGACATTATTTTGCCAACAAAGGTCCATCTGGTCAAGGCTATGGTTTTTCCAGTGGTCATACATGGATGTGAGAGTTGGACTGTGAAGAAAGCTGAGCGCTGAAAAATTGATGCTTTTGAACTGTGGTGTTGGAGAAGACTCTTGAGAGTCCCTTGGACTGCAAGGAGATTCAACCAGTCCATCCTAAAGGAGATCAGTCCTGGGTGTTCATTGGAAGGACTGATGCTGAAGCTGAAACTCCAGTCCTTTGGCCACCTCATGTGAAGTGGAAAAGACCCTGATGCTGGGAGGGATTGGGGGCAGGAGGAGAAGGGGACGACAGAGGATGAGATGGCTGGATGGCATCACTGACTCGATGGGCATGAGTTTGAGTAAACTCCGGGAGTTGGTGATGGACAGGGAGGCCTGGCGTGCTGCGATTCATGGGGTCGCAAAGAGTCGGACACGACTGAGCGACTGAACTGAACTGAACTGAACCTAAGAATGTTGCAAAGTAACACTATCTTCTGGCATTCTGAGCATGGACTTGGAAGCCAGGCCATCCAGGGGAACCATGGGGAAGTTATTTAGCCTCCCGTACCTCAGTTTTCTCATCTGCAAAATGGAAGCAATAATGGTACTCCTATCTCCAAGGGCTTTTGTGAAAATTAAATTACAATATGTGTAAAACAGGGTAAGTTATTATCATTATTACACAGCAGTTAGTTTAGGATAAACATGTCCCTTCATAATGAGGGAACCTGGAAGAAAAGCTCACATTAAAATAATGTCTTTACAGAGTGTTCTAATTCTTAAGTGTGGAAAAGTTAGCCAAATCACTAACAAGCTTGTCTCTATTGGCATTTAACCCATTCATTGTTTTTAAAAAGGTTTAAAAAAAAGGTTTAAAAAAATTGTTAGAAAAGGTAGGATGGAAAGTGTTCATTCAATTTGTAGATTATACTGAACAAGCAGTTTCCTATAATTTTGACCAATTTTCTCATCAGTTTGGTGGACAGCAGGTACCCCAAATGTGCAGAATGATAAACTCAGCCATACAGAGATCTTACTTCTTGTTGTTTAGTCGCTAAATCATGTCCGACTGTTCTGTGACCCCAGGGACTGGGGTCCTCTGTGCATGGGATTTCCTAGGCAAGTATACTGGAGTGGGTTGCCATTTCCTTCTCCAGGGCATCTTTCTGATTCAGGGCTTAAACCAGCATCTCCTGTATTGGCAGGCAGATTCTTTTACCACTGAGCAACTGAGATCTTGATAGCAGTCCCCTAATGGAAGCACAAAGCTGAAACCGTGACTCTGGGTGGCTAGCTTTTACAGTCTTGGGAAAAAATTTTACATTATTATTGTTAAAAATGCCTCACAACTTTCCATTTTCTCCTAAGTATGGACATTAAGAGTATGGACTCGGGGGCCAGACAGTGAGTTCAGACCCCAGCTCTGCCACTCACCTATGTGACCTAACAAGTTAGGCAACTTTTCTGTGCCAGATTTTTACAGACTTTTGTCTGTAAGAAGAGGAGGACAATGACCATACTGACTGTGACCAGTAAGTAACATATTATGTAAGGTGCTTAGAACACTGCCTGCCACATTTGTAAGCATCAACCGATGTTAATGATTGTTAATAGCAACTTGTAGACACAGAGCATCTGTGCGTCTGCAAACAGCAGCAGCCTCCCCAGGGCTTCAGGGCAGAGTTCTCATGTTTTCCGTGTGGCCAGGAGGGGACCCCACGCTCACTTTTCCCTCCTAGCCCCCTGCCACTTGTAATGTTAAACGCCCCCACCACGTGACGCCACGCCTGTTTACCACATACAGACTTTCTCCACTGAACACGGACTTCCCTGGGAGGAAAGGCCTGACTTCCTGCGGCCTCAGCACGGGAACTGACCCTGGTCCCTCAGAGATACTCCAGAAACGTGGAATGACTCAACGAATATTCATTCCTTCAGATTTCTGTTGTTGTTCAGTCACTAAGCCGTGTCCAACTCTTTGCGACCCCATGAACTGCAGCACACCAGCCTTGCCTGTCCTTCACCACCAGATTTTTAAGTGGCTTTAAATTTCCAATCCCTTATGACAATATAAGCCCCTCCAGGATCAAACTCCTTTAACAAACATCTTCGCAGCAGTCAGTGAGCCCGACGCTGAGGACAAGCAGTGACAGCTGTCAACACTTCCAGCACATTCCACGCCATCTCATGTCACAATCACACAGCAAGGACAAAACCTGTCCATTCTGAAATACAGTCTAGAGTCAACTCTGACCGAAAACAAACCAAAAACAGAAACAAATGCATTTTTACAAAAAAAAAAAGTGCATTTCTAAAATGCTTACCTTGCCTCATAAAAGAAAGGGCTTTTTCTTTTATATTCTCGGTCAGTTGTTTCTTTTTAGTCAGGTAATCCAAAACATAAATATTTGGAGCAAAATTTATCATGTTCTGTTCACCACAGCCATAAGGCATCCGAATCAGGGAGGCTAGGCCATTGATAGACGAACCAAGAATATCTCCTGAAAGCACAAGATATTTATCAAGGTCAGCAAATCCCCAATAACCACACCGCCTAACGGCAGAGAGAGCAGAAGGCACCCAACACTGAAGCAATATGACTGTTCCACTGCCAGGAACACAGGAGAAACCACATCAGGCTTTTAGGAAGACTGGTCAAATAAATGATAATACAATAGTACTGAACTTGCAGATTATGCGACAAATTAGGAGACTTTTAGCTCAAAGATACAGCACACATAAGCAAACTGTGAGTTTTTTTTAAATTTCTAACCGAAATGTCAGGATTTGCATCAGGAAATCATCATTCTTATACAGGGAGTAAAAGTTTTACAATTAGTACTCTTCACATAAATAGAACTTTATTTTGACTTCCTTACTAATACACTATATAAATTCTTGAGAAATGACGTTCTAAGGGCAGGGCTTGTTGTATTTTTCAATGTGCTCTATTTATCAACAACAAAGTAGAACTAACTGGTATATATGTTTCAATGAATCTCAGGATCAAAATGGGTTAAAAGTATTCTTCAAAGTTAGTAACATAAAGTTAAACAAAACACACACTTACCTACATTCCTCTACCCACATTCTAACACCATGACTCAAGAAAATAAGTAAAAATTTAAAAATGTAAAGGCTGAGTTCTAATTTTGACCTCATTATGGTTGAACTGTATAGAGAAGAATATTTGTCAGTGTGGTTTATTTTAAAAACTTCACCATTCCAAGTCCAAATACCTATTGAAAACTTGCTCCTAAAAAAATGAATCCAAATAAGAGAGGAAGACTTTCGTATGTGTAGGCTGCAGAAACGCTAGCGTACCATGTCTTAAACTTTAGATGTTAACTCAGAGAAGTAAATACCAGTACAGGTTTTGTTTCTTATTATTACCACCACCACACATTATGCTTTTATATTCAAAGTGAACATAAACTTGGACTTTTAATAGTCAAAGAAGCAAGCCAATATTCACCAAATAAAACACAAATAGGTTTTTTAATAGCAAATTAAAAACCAAACAGCTTTTTTAAATAAATACTGTATAAAAATAAAACTTGAAAAAAACATTATTTTAAATCAAACTTTAAAATTAAACTTCAGAATATTCAACAACCACAGGCAGACTCATTCTAATGTAAGGAAAGATGGTACACACTCAAACTTCAAGGCTCTTGGGTGGAAGGGATAGTTAGGGAATGAACATGTATACACTGTTCATATGTATATGTATAATACACATATTATAAATGGATAACCAACAGGGTCTTACTGTATAGCACATGGAACTCTGCTCAATGTTATGCAGCAGCCTGGACGGGAGGGGAGTTTGGGGGAGAATGGATACATATATACATGGTTGAGTCCCTTCACTATTCACCCGAAACTATCACAACATTGTTAACTGGCTATAAAAGAAAGTGAAAGTCGCTCATGAGCGAGTCAATTCCTAGGCAGGTTGATAAGAAGTCCAGGGTCCCCGAGGAGGAGAAGGGGGTCTGGGGCTCTCAAGGAGGAAATAGGGGTCTGGAATTCTCAAGGAGGAAAGGACACACTTTTTTTCCTACATTCCTCAGTAAGGATAATATAACAATAATGTATCCTGCTCAAGGACATTTTTCTCCTTCCTGAAAATCTTCTGACCAATCCTGTTATCTTAAAATGCATATTATGGGAGTGGGTCTAGTAAGATCTTTACAACCTTGAGACGTTCTTTTGATTTACTGTAATAACCAATTAAAAAAGCATTTAACTCCCTTGCTAACACTATTAAGGGGGGCATTCTCCATTCCCCTTCCGATGTCTATGTCAGAAGCTTTCCCCGTTCCTTTTCACTTTAATAAAACTGCTACACAAAAGCTCTTGAGTGATCAAGCCTGGTCCCTGGTCCCGAAATTAAATCCTTGGCGATCACAAATTCGACACCGTTCACCGTAAGCTATCACTCAGTCATGTCTGACTCTTTCCGACACCATGGACTGTATAGTCCATGGAATTCTCCAGGCCAGAATACTGGAGTGGGTAGCCTTTACCCCAATACAAAATAAAAAGTTTAAAAAGAAAAAACTTCAAGGCTCTTCCCTCTATATGTGTGTACACACGTGACACCATCTCCCAGCACCCCACCACTGTGGGAGGTGTTTAAGCAGAATGTATTCTCCTCAATAGAGAGTTTATTTATTTCTTTTTAAGAATTATATCTAAGTCTCCCCAAAAAGCCCCCTCTAGAGGGACTGGTTGTTTGGAGTAATAATAAAAAGCACTACACCTGCAGGTGAGATTCAAAAGAAAAAGTGCCTTAGGTCTTGACACCTCAAAGACCTAACAAATTATTTAGATGTCATTAATCGAAACATTTCCAATACTTGGGCTACCTGATGCAAAGAGCTGACTCATTGGAAAAGACCCTGATGCTGGGAAAGATTAAGGGCAGGAGGAGAAGGGGACGACAGAGGATGAGATGGTTGGATGGCATCTTCATCTCAAGTTGGAGCAAACTCCAAGAGATAGTAAAGGACAGGGAAGTCTGGCATGCTGCAGTCCATGAAGTCGCAGAGTCAGACACGACTGAGCGACTGAAAAACAACAAAATCTAAACATTTCTTTCAGTTATTTGTAAAGCACAACTATACAAATAAGCCATTTTTGTGGAAGTTCTAATAGTTGAGAGTCCTTTGGGGTTACCAAGGAAACTAGGAGAAGGTGACTAAGTCAGTGGGTAGCTTCCAACGGTACGGGGTACTTGCATTCTGCACAGAGAACCACTCAAGGCAGTGGTCCTCAACTTCTGGTTGTCAAAAGCACTAGCAGAACCTTTTCAAAACATGCATGTCCTAGGCATAGCCCAAGGGAGTCTCACTGAGTAGACTGGGAGTGGAACCCGGATATTTGCATATTTTCAAAGCTCCACAGAAGGCTGTGATATTCACCAGTAACTGAGAGCCACAAAGGCAAAACAACTCCTCCTTCCAGCCATACAACATTGTGGTCTGGCTCCTCAAAGAGTGGACTACACACCAGAAGCATCAGCAACATCTGGGAGCCTCTTAGAAATGCAGAATCCAGGGCCCACCCCATGCCTACTAAGCCAGAATCTGCCTTCACACAGGGTCCCCAGAAGATTCATGTGCACTTGAAGACTGGTCCAGAACTGGTCCAGAAGAACTGGTCCAGAACACACATCTTATTGCCTTTCTACTGGAATCAGCGGTTGGCAGCAACTAGAAAAAGTTTTATTTAACTAGGATTAAATAAGAAAATATACCTAAAAAGGACCTACTGTATAGTACAGGGAACTATATTTGATTTCTCGTAATAAACTATAATGGAAAAGGATCTGAAAAAATATATACATATACATATGTATAACTGAATCACTTTACTGTTCACCCAAAACAGTATCAATCAACTGTACTTCAATTTAAATAATTCATTAAAAAAGAAAATGCATGTACAAATAAATGAGAAGTGTGTATTATCATATACAAATAAACCAGTGGTGAGGGTGATATACTCTGTTCTTACCGATTGCAGTGATCTGAACCCTCTCACTGCCACTCACTGTGTGAGGAGGAAAGGAGAAACTCAGTGTTTTCAGGGTAGTTTGGAGCATGCTGTCCGTCAAATCTAGCAAGATGGATTGTGAATATGATTTTTCTATTCCTTCAGCCTGTTGATAAAAAGTAACACAATTAACATGGTCTCTATTCCTCTGTTTAGAGAAAACTATAGGCAGATAATGAGTTAATCATCTGGCCTGTCATGGTTAGATAAGTACCTACAAGGTCTTGATTCTTGGTTCAAACCCGTTAATAAATGTTTACTTTCTCTTTAAATTAAAGAAAATAGTTCATGGAATGGCAATGGAAATGATAAAGAAGATGAAAAGGGGATGAGAAACCCTCTGAAATAGGTCCTTTTATTATTCAAAGAAATTAAATACCTTGTCCAAAGGCACCCTTGACAGAGCTGGGATGAAACCCAGGGCTGCCTCCCTCCAGAACACAAAGGCTTATCCACTATGCTGAGTTGCCTTTTTGTGCATACTGTCTTCTCTGAAAAAAAACCTACAAAACCTATTCTACCTGTACTGAGGAATTCCAAAATTCAAAATCTATATATCAACTTGGCACAATTTAACAGGATTCCAATGTCACGCAGAGTGTAAATGTAACCTGCTTTATAATCATATTATAAATTTAAATAAGACATTGGCAATTACCTCCAATTGCGTGATATATTTTTACATTTAGATGAGAAAAATATTAGGCATTCCTGGAGGGTGGAGAAGATAGGTCTTGAAAACAAATTTAACCAGGAAAAAAACCATCTTCTGCTTCCTTTTCAATTATGTATTTCCATTTTGTTTTAGACTTCAACTATTTACCTTCACTAAAATCCTCTGGGTGACAGCATCAGAAGCAGTAGGTGAAACAGCTGTGACCGTGATGGGCACTTCCCCCAGACGTGTTGGCCTGATGGGGAAAAGAACAGTTGCCCCATCCTCACTGGGAACCAGAATGGTCTGCTGGTGTCCCGTGGCATTTATTTCATTCGAAGCCATTAGAATATCAAATGCACCACTTTTCTCAATGATTACCTTAACCTGGAAGAAAAACAAAGTCATCAAAGGTTCTGTATAATAAATTGCTCCTCAGTAAAATGTTGCTTTGTGCATTCATGCTAAGTCGGTTCAGTCGACTCTTTGCAATCCTATGGACTGCAGCCCGCCAGGCTCCTCTGTCCATGGGATTCTGCAGGCAAGAATACTAGAGTGGGTTGCCATGCCCTTTTAAGCGTGGTTAAATCTGTGAGGCCCAAGACTAGAGAAAAATGAAAGGTTCAGCCAAGAAGAGGGTGTAAAGGTAACAGGATAAACCTAGTTCTTTCCCACGCTTTTTCCACTACCTCAAGACAAGCAGGGAAATGCCATTCTTCAGGTCTAACATTAAACTCCCACTAATATTAAATTATCTCATTTTCTGAAGGTTGAGTTATTTCATGTCCTGGTACTACCACCAGCCTGACTCAACTGTGTCATCCTGGGACACTAGTCCCATTAGAAAAACCTGAGGCAAACAAGATGAAATGTCATTACACTCACTGAGAATCTCTAAAATTATTCCAAGAAAAGTATGACTCAGACACTAGTCCTGAGGCACATGTTGGTTGTAAACTTTCGTAGAGTACTTCAAAGTCGCAGGCTCATCAAGAAGAGCATTTCTCTGGATGTTAGACTTTATGAATTGTTTTTCCCACTTATTTTCTCATCTGTTTCTCAAAATATTTCTTATCTAACAGATGACTAAACTGCAATTAAATTACCTGTCATTAAGTGAACAAGCTAGATACTGAATCTGGGCCTTCTGACTCCAGATCTTTTGCTCTTTACACTATACCATGTTGAGAAAATTAAAAAGTAAAATTAGAAAATAAGAACCAGTTTATTCTCTAGACATAGTGCTTAGAGAGATGATGGCATTTTCGGGTAGTAAGGTTAATTACAACCCCTAGTCTGGGGGTGGGGGTGGGGCGGGAATCATTTCATTAGCGCCACTATGGGCACAATACAAAGAGTGGGCCTACCGCTGCCTTACAGGGAACTGATTGGCTGAGGGGACACCAGGCCAGGACTCAAAAATCAAAGCCTTGGAAACAGAATACACTAACACAGGAAGCTCAACCATACCCTATGACAACCTAGAGGGGTAGGAAGGTGGGGGGCAGGGAGGGGACATATGCATATCTATGGCTTATTCATATTGATGCATGGCAGAGCCCAACACAACGTTGTAAAGCAATTATCCTCCATTTAAAAATAGATTAAAAAAAAAAAACAGAAAATACTGTACAAATATGGGGACCGCTAGCCTAACAGCATGAGTGAGATTCCTCAGGGAAGACACCTTAGTTCCAAGCCAGTCCTTGAAAGGAATAAATTCTTGCCAGTTGCAGTGGGCACAGAATGGCAGTGTGAAGTCGCAATACATCCTCCATGTGGGAGTAGAGTAGGGAAAAAATGTGGGGAGAAAGGGGCACGAAAGAGAAAGAGATGTCAAGAAATGAAGTTGTGGGGCTAAAGCAGAGAACCCGCACTAGAAATTAAGGGGAGAACGCCCAGACATGCCAGCAATATCCTTCAACATTAACAAGCTGAAGAAATGGTGGGCAAAGTATGGCTATTTTCAATATTCCAGAAATGTAAAACATTTTTAGATGCCCAAACACTACATAACCCAATGCCAGCATGCTTTCTTCATTTTTCCTGACATGTAAATGATGAGCAAACCTTTTAGCACATTACCTCAGTGGCATCTTTCAAATAATTGAATATGGTTACTTCCAAAGCAAATTCTTCACCTCTGATGACAGAGTATGGAAGATTCAAAAAAATGAAAAATGGTTGGAAGGCTTGGAGCTGGAAAGAACACAATGAATACAGATTTTATTTAAGTCCAGAGCTTCATTCACACTTACACACTTAAATCTCACAAAACCTACAACACTTATTAGCAGCTTCGCATAGAAATGTCCTCTTGCCTACCAACAGAAAACCACAATCTATCCTAAATAAACAGGGGCATATTCCTTTGATTTATAACTCAGTAATCACTATGTTTTATGAAATTCCTACTAGGAACCAGGGACTTTATACAAATTACTTCATCACACCTATGTAGGAGAAGTTATGGTCATATTTTACAGAAAAGAAACATATTTTACACAAAGGAAGCTAGCCGCCTCTGTAACTGGTACAAGAGCACACTGCTGGCCAGTGCAAGAGCCAGAAGTGGATCCTGGAATGTCTGAGGCCATAGCCAAGTTCCTCTTCTACTACTCCGCCATGCCGATTCCATCATTCTGCTTTTAAAGCCATTGCCCAAATGAAACAGCATCTGTTTTAGACTCCTGTGAAGAGCAAATGACCTTTTGCCTACTACCGTATGGACTGTAGCCCACCAGGCTCCTCTGTCCATGGAATTCTCCAGGCAAGAATACTGGCGTGGGTAGCCATTCCCTTCTCCAGGGGATCTTCCCGACCCAGGAATCAAAGTGGGGTCTCCTGCAGTGCAGGCAAATTCTTTACTGTCTAAGCTACCAGGGAAGCCCAACATATAAACATATACATATATGTTGGTCACCCAAACTCTGATAGTGTTGGCCAAGCTTCTCACTGGCAGCAGTTAATTCTCTCTTAGAAGTTTATTTGGAAATCTGTGAAAGTCTCAGACTATCACAATGAGGTGCTCCCGGCACTTAGCAGATGAAGGTCTGCGTGCTCAGGACAGTCCCAGACAGTGAAGAATTGCCCTGTGTTCCTCATGATTCTTAAATGTCCTTTCATGTAAACAAAGCCCCTGCTTATAATAAGCTGGACTTACAAGCTAATTACAACACATATATAAATCCAAAGCATCTGTCAATACACAACTACTTTTAGATCAAGAGGAAACTGCACTTTGTTTTGTAACTTCACCAAAATTTCTTCACTATTTCAAAACTTTCCATCACCACAGGGAGCACCACTCAAGTTTTTGCATTGCTAAAACAATACATGTATATCAAATTGCATTTTGCAGCTCTTATACACAAGGTACCTATGTACACACAAGGTATACTGTGTACCGCATAAATATTCAAATATGTTACTATGCTTTCTTGTGCAACTATGCCCAGCCACTTACATACTTAAAGGTTTATTATTTTATTATACATTACTTTCCTTTTATTTCTCCTTGGTATTTCACTTAGGGCATCTTACTGATTTTCTTTATTTAGGTATATTATATTTTCTATGCATTTTATTTGCATAGATGGTTGAGGGACAAAACAAAATATCTGTTTTTAAAAACCAACTTCATATATGACAGAGTTGAAAGCTACTGGTCTCAGACCAATCACAGTCAAGACATTCCTCCTGTCAGTGACGGTTTAGGGAGCGACATGGGATGTAATTTGACCAAAAAGTTGTGAAGGAATGTTCACTATGGGACATTCTGAGTTCTGCTCATCCTTAAAGAGGACATTCTCTCTCTTCTGGCCTTTGGAAGTAATTGGACTCAGTCAACAATAAACTTCCTCTCCAAATCTCAACACAGAGCTAGCACAGTTAACAGTTTAATGCAGTTCACACTTGAAAATGTAAAACAGATGAAAAACAAAAAGGAAATGCCAAGAAACCTTCAAACTATGATCAACATCATAAGCAATCACTTTTTTAAAATCCACTGAGGACCTGATGCTCTTTGTTTCATGGCATTGTACCATCTATAAGCAGCCCTTTCGTATACTACCTCCACTGGAGCAGTTGTTAGTCCAAGACCTAAATCCTCAGAGATCACAAAAGCAGTTGCAACCCAAGAAGTGATAGAATCAGGCACAGTAACTTCAAATTCTTGGTAAATCCTGGAACTGAAGTCAAGAAAAACATAAAAGTCACAAAACCAAGAACAGACACACTTCAAAACAGGCCAACATAACCTAAACCATGTTTTGGAAGAATTTCCATGTTTTGGAAAATTTTAATTTTCCAAATAATTTACATATCTAAAATTTTTTTTAAGATTTAAGCATAAAACAATACATCCCAAGTTCTCAAGGAACAGATCATAATGAGGTCATAATACTGCATACTGATCCACATTTCAATAAAAATCTTTCTACAATATTTATATCTTCAAGACAAGCATTATTTTCAAAAATGTTATATAGATAATAAATATCCTTTTCCAAATTTAACTCCCATTTGTTTCTCTCAGTATGCATAAAGTTTCCCTCTGTATTCTTGTCAATGCTATTATTTGTTTTTGGAGGTTTGACTTGTGTCTTATTTCAAATTTCCATAAATAGCTGACTCACAACATATGCAGATTTCATGATTCAACATTTCATGTTGAGTCATCACGCCAGATGGCACAGAGTTTGTTAGCTAAGTTGAGTTCTTTTCAATGCCCACACCTCTTCTGCTTGTGGCTCACAGGGATGTCTAATAGGGCACCACAAGGCAGAAGGAATAATCATGAGCGCTTCCCACCCCAAGCAACAAGGGAACTCCCAGAAGTCTTTCCCCAGCAAGAACCATGCGACTTCAGGGAAATTAAAATCATCCTTCTTTAGAAAAGGCCTGTCTTCTCCTTGATGATCCTCTTACTGCCACAATTCACATACAGCTTTATTAAATACTATGCACGTGTGTGTTCAGTTGCTCAGCTGTGTTCAATTCTCTGTGACCCCACAGACTATAGTCCACCAGGCTCCTCTGTCCATAGGATTTTCCAGGCAAGAACAGTCGAGTGGGTTGCCATTTCCTTCTCCAATTAAATACTATATTTAGATACAATTAATATCATTCTTTAAAAACTCTTGGTCTATTTAGTTCTTTATCACACTATATTTATACTGAAACATTAGAAAGAGGGCAAAACTTACTTAAAACTAAGACCAAACAAAATATATACAGGCAAAGAACTTTAATCTGTACCCCATGTTGGTGTCTAGCCATATCCAAGTCTCCGGAAAATGCTTTCGCACACGTGGACTGCTACCCAGAGAAAAGTCATGAAGATCTACCAAGTAGCTTTCATTTTCGTCCACAAACCTCTCAGCCAACTCTACGCTGTCATCTAAAAATAAACATTGACAACTGTTAAGGGAAAGTCGCGGTAGATAATGTTCATAAACCTAGTCCACCGAATTATAGCATCTCTCAGCTGACAAGGCCTTTACAGTCTATCTTCTCCAATCCTTCTCATTTGACACCTGAGACCCATAGCAGTCATGTGACTTACCCCAAGCCACATTGTCACTTATGGCAGAGCTGGGAAAAAAAGTTCTCTGGCCCTACAACCAATACCTAAAAAACTACTTGCAGTTCAGCTGCAAAAAAATAAGTTAAATCCCATTTTTAAAAGTTATCTCCAATTCTGCTATTCTCCTCTTCTTAGATTCCTAGTGCTGAATGCCTTTGGCTATACCTGCCACAAGACACTACAAAAATCCAGCTTATTAGCTTTTTTTCTTACAAAACAGTCACACTGACACACAGATATTGGATCACCTATCTCTATTCTTTCAACTTTTCTATAAGCCTAAAACTATTTCAAAACAAAATGTTAAAAAATAAAATTATACTGAAGAAGTTACCAAAGATACAAAGATAAATGCAATGAGCTCCACCCACTGTCTACGGAGAAGGCAAACAAATACATGAGTGATAGTCCACTCAGGCAAAATGTCTGCCATGTAGAGAACAGCTGATTTTACATAGAATCTGAATAATGAAAAGGGTATGGCTAGGGAAAAAAATCCATCTTGTGTTGTTTATTGCATTTCATTTTCCTTATGTCTTCAGATAAAGAGAATCCCATACAAGGTGGTGCGGGGGGGGGGGGGGGGGGGGGGGGGGGGGGGGGGGGGGGGGGCTAAGTACAAAGGCATGTCCAGAATATGGCAATGCTTATTAGGGAAGAGTGGCATAAAATGAGAACAGAAAGAATGCATGGGTCCAGATTTTAAAATATCAGTTATCCCATGCTAAAGGATTTGGACTTGATCCTTTAAGCAGTGATGATCTACTGAAGGTTTTAAAATAAATTAGAAACGTGATCTATTCCATGTTTTATAATGGTAACTCTGGTCTGAATAAGAACAGTGGTTTAGAGATGAGGGAATGGACGCAGGAGAAAAAGAAGGTTCCTGAACTGCCCAGGGAAACACACTGACCAGGAGCTGGGGCCCAGAAGAGGAAAGGAAGGACAGCCTTGAAATAATTCTGCTCACCCTCCCAGTAGTATGAGCTCTGTGCGTGCCCATGGCACTTTCCCTCCTCATCACACCCCTCAGCACACTCTTCTACCTGTGTGCTGGTTTGCCCTACTAGACCAAGCTTGAACTTCCATTGCCTCTGACATGCCAGGCACATATTAATATCATCTACTGATAATAGGTAATTGCAGATTTCTGAGTACCAAACATGTGCGAGGCACTTTGCATGCTTCTGAATTTAACCTAACAATCCTGTAATAGAGGCAATATTATTAATACTTATAATTCAAGGAGAAACCTGAGGTTTAAGGAGCTTAATGAATTTCCTCAGGGTCATAAAGCCACTACTGAAAGTCAGAAGTATTTCTTGGTAAATTCCTTTCTTAATCACTAGGCTGTTCTGCATCTGGCAGTAAGGAAAGAATCAAGGATGAATTTTGGGTTTCTGATGCAAACATGTGGGTAGATGGTGATTTCATTAACAGATACATGAGATCATATCAATTCAAGAGCTCATTTATCAGTCATATCATATTAGGGAAGGGCAATGGTTTGTGACATATAGAATTTAAGGTATGTGTGGGGCATCAGGGTGCAGAATCAGGAGGGGTAAGATAAACAATCAAGGTGTTCCAGAGTTGGATTTAATGGGGAAGATGTCATGGAAGGACCAGGGACGAGGGGAGAATTCTACCAAACTGACTGACCACGTGGTCCAGGTTGTCACTGTTGTATTGTTGTTTAGTCATGTTCTAGCTGTTTGGCAACCCCACGGACTGCAGCCCACCAGGCTCCTCTGTCCATGGGATTTCCCAGGCCAGAATACCAGAATGGGTTGCCATTTCCTTCTCCAGGGTATCTCCCCTATCCAGGGATCAAACCTGCATCTCCTGCACTGGCAAGCAGTTTCTCTACCACTGAGCCACCTGGGGAGCCCGTGCTCCAGGTACCAGGGGCAAATATGGACAGAAGGAGTCAGTGACCAAAAATAACCAGGAAAGGTCAAAACCAAAGAAGACACGTAACAGAATCAGGGGAGTGAGGGCACATACAAAGGAGAAGGACAGGCATTTGAAATGTCAGGGGTAGATCCATGGTAGGTGATGACGTGACCTATGACTACTGTTGCCATGGTGATGATCACATGACAGTAGACGGGCCACCCACACCTTCAAATCCCCCAAGAAGACAAAGTAGTCAGACTCTGACCCTTCTGCCAGAGTCATTAATATAGAGAGAGGCAAAGGGAAAGTAGGTGACTGAATGTTGATCAAAGGATACATGATTGAAATTTTTGAGCTTCAAATGATAAGGTGCTTTTAACTGAGGACTGCTGAACAATGGTCTTGAAGTAGCCAAGAAAATACTGAACTTTATACACCTGCTGGGGGTGGGGGGGCTTCCCTGGTGGCTCAATGGTAAAGAATTCACCTGCCAATGCAGGAGATGTGGGTTCGATCCCTGGGTCAGGAAGATAACCTGGAGAAGGAAATGGCAACCCCACTCCAGTCTTCTTGCCTGGGAAATTCCACGCACAGAGGAGCCTGGCAGGCTATAGTCCATGGGGTCCCAAGAGTCAGACACACCTTAGCAATTAAACAACAACATGCACCTTCAGACCGTGAACCAGAAGAGAGGCAGAAAAATTAATGTCAATTACTTGAAGGTTTCCAGGAACACAATATACCAGTAAAAATATCAGGTGTCTTCTGTTACAGTGAAAAGGTAGAAGGTTCTCAGAAAAGGTAAAGATTACAATAAGTGTTACTAACAATAGAATGAGTATGATAGCACCAGGATTTGATAAGTAAACATAAACAAAGCTGGGTAAAAGCTGAGACCAACAGAGAGAGCATGGAAAATCAGATTGGTTGGAAGGCTGCCCAGGATAAATGATTACATGAAGAAAGCTAAAAGTGCCAAGTGTCTTTAATACACAGAGATCATAATGACTTCATAAAATCTTTAAGACTATAAAATTGTTCTTAAAACTTCAGGACAGAGGCTCAGTTGTCCTACGGTGTCAAGAACCAACCCCAAAATGGAGAGTCTGGAGTTTAGTGGGGGAACATGTGGTAGAAATCAGGGGATTCATGAATAAAACTATGATAGTTCTGTAGTCTTTCAGGATGATTTCATATCATTTTACCTGAAAGAAGTGAGGACAGCTTCTAGAATTAATCATTCTCATTTATACATTTCCTTCAGTCAAAATCTTTTATGGGGACCTCCCTGGTGGTCCATTGGCTAAGAATCCACTTTGCTGTGCAGGGGACAGGAGTTCGATCCCTGGTCCAAGAACTAAGATTCCACACATTATGAAGCAACTAAGCCCCCACATCACAACTACCGAGTCCATGCGCCACAACTAGAGTCCTTGAACCACACGAAGGATCCCACATGTAACAGAGACCCCGAGTAGTGCAACTAAGACCTGACGCAGTCTAATCAATCAGTTAATTTTTTAAAAGAAGTCAAAATGAACAATTCAAGTAAAACGCCTTATGAATTTTCCTTAAAGCTCAGCTTCTAATTAGTTGGGTGGTCAAGTCTACTTCGCAATCCAGGAAACAGGGACGTGCGATGTGATCCTGCCTGGGAAGAACTCAGACTGAGGAGACGTAAGTGAGTGTGAGTGTGTGTGAGAGAGTGTGTGTGTGTGTGTGTGTGTGTGTGTGTGTGTGTGTGTGTGTGTGTGTACCGCATACTTCATGGCATCTGGGCTATTTTCTAGCTGAACAATAAAAAGCCAGAGAACAGAAATGTTTCAAAAACATGTTGCCTCCTTTTAACTAATTCCAAAGTAACATCACAGTTTACAATACAAATTGGAGGCATAAGATCTTTCAATATGTCCAGAAATATAACCATGTCAAAAAGTTACAGAGAGAAAATGGAAAGTAATCATTAGAAAGATCTAAACAGGAGCTGAAGAACACTCCATGTCATGGCCCAGATGTACTTCCAAGTACATTAAACTCCAAACACTGTAGGATAAAAGAATAGAAAATGAAAATTACAATATCCATATTCAACCAGAATGTATTCATACTTACATAAGTAACTATAAATACCTGAGATGAAAGACTTAATTACTTAAAAAGCACTTTGCCAGATTTCACTTACAAACACCGTCAATGTAATCCTTCACAAGGTTTGCATCCGTCAATACCCAGAGGCCACACTCCTAGAAAGAATCATTTTAATTTTCGTTTAAAATATAAGTTTAAGCACCCTCTAAATTGTCAGTTGCCTATACCCCTAATTCACTCTTGCTGTTTTGTTTTTGTGTCACATGTGAAAATATCTCCCTTTGCTTTTTTAACTCTTGCTCATTTTTGAGAGTTTAAATACATACATGAGTATACAGACTCTCACAACAAGACACACAGCCACACACACAAGCACACGAACACACACTCTCACATGCAGAAAGAGCTATTTCAAAGTTAAGGAAAGTGATATAAAAGAAAGAAGTTACTTGTTTAATAGTAATTCCATTATTTCTGTAATGATGAATTTACTCATTTGCTTTTAAGACTAGAAGGATGACCATCTTTCAATTTCAAATTACACTTATATAACACACTGCATTTCAGCAACTGAAGTTAGTTTTGTAGCAGTAAATATATTAATATCTTTTCAAATTATATACATGTATATATAAATTTTCAAATTACATAGCAAACTAAACATACCTGAAAGACTGCAAAAGAATTCATGAACATGCCTAAATAATATCCTGTGTTATAAAGTTCCAATTCATGGACCACCTAAGAAAAAGATAAAATATACAGAATGAAAGTATTCATATCAATGTGTTCTGCCCTCTCAACATTTCTGATATGTACTGTGAATAAAAGACAGGTACACATGTTTATCAAATGTACTACATCAAATAGACCATATGCTTATCAAATTTGAAAATGACATAAATGGAGGAATAACAAATATGTCAATGCTATGTTCATAATTCAATCAGCCAAAAATACACTTCTTCTTTAAACTTATTTTTATTCTGTTCAGTAATCAAGAGTTCCTAAGAAGTGTGGGCTTGTTGACAAAGCTAACACGTAGAGATCAGCATTAAAAATGAGTCATACTTTTAACAAAGATAAAGAGGGTCAATGTGATGATTAACATAAGACCTTAAAAAATGTCGGTTAAGAATCCAAGTCAGTTCTAGCGAGGTGGATGAACCTAGAGCCATTTATACAGAGTGAAGTTAAGTCAGAAAGAGAAAAATTAATTAATGCATATTTATGAAATCTAGAAAAATGCTACTGATGAACCCATTTACAGAGCAGGAATAGAGATACAGACACAGAAAACAGATTTGTGGACACAGTGGGGAAAGGTGAGGGTGGGATAAATTGAAAGAGTAGCATTGAAACATATACATAACCATGTGTAAAATAGCTAGCTAGTGGGAAGTTGCTATATAACACAGGAAGCTTAACCAAGTGCTCTGTGATGACCTAGAGGGATGGACTAGGGGATGCTGTGGGAGGGAGGTTCAAGAGGGAGGGAACACATGTATACTTATGGCTGATTCACATTGTTGGACAGCAGAAACCAACACATAATAATTGTTGTAAAACAATTATCCTTCAACTAAAAATAAATTTTAAAAAATTTTGCTAAGTGAAGTAAAGCAGATACAAAAGGACAAATATTACATGATTCCACTCATGTGAAATATCTAGAATTAGTAAATTCATAAGATCAGAATTTGATTAGAGGTTACCAGTGTTGCAAAGGGAAGGAGGTAATGAAGAGTTATTGCTTCATGGTCACAGAGTCTCTATTTAGAATGAAAATTTCGGAAATAAATAGTGTTAATGGTTATACATTATTATGAATAATTAATGCCACTGAACTATACTTTTAAAAATGGTCAAAATGGAAAATTTCATGTTATATATATTTTACTATGGTAGAAAAAAAAGTTAGGATATTATAACCCTTTGGTAACTATTTTGATACATTTACCTCAATTACATTAGCATTAAGATTGGGAAATTAAGACAGTGAAAAGAATTATGGACAATTTTAAGTTTAAAAATATATCAAGTTTAACATTAAACACCCAAACCACTGCTTCTGCTTTACTAACAATAGCACTGCTACACCCATGGTAAGGAAGCATGATCTAGAACAGGCATCAAAAAGAAAGCAACAGAATGAGAAAACAAAATTCCATATCTCAACAAGCTGTCCAATATGGTTAGCCCAACTATAGACAATGAAGCCAGAGCCAGACAGGATGGAGAGGAAAGTTTTTCATTCCATAACTCCAACTCTGCCACACAAGACCTATATGTGCAAAGCAGGTGTGAATCAATGGAATTATCTAGGAAGAAGCATCTCTTGCATACGGAAGTCCTCTTTTCCTCACTGGTTCAGTGAGAAAGCTGCTGCAAGGGAAGTCTGGTATCTGCAGATTAGTCCTGGAAGATGTAGGACACTTAAATTATTCCAAGGCATTCACAAGTCTCTGGACAGCATACATAAATTTAACAAAAATGAAAGAAAGGAAAATGGTCCATTATCATAGGCTTCTGACTCCTTCTTCTACAGCCAACACTTGAGAAATACGAAAAGCAAGCAAGAAACTTATATGAGTAGAACAAGAAAACCCTCGGAAGAGGGAAGGGTATCTCCAGTTGAGGTGTTGGAGGACGCAGATGGCAGAAAGCTGATACACGCAGCAGGCTGGAAGAGGCTTTTAAATTCTACTTGTGCTTCTCTTCAGGAGGTAGCCTTAGGACAATCATTCCTGGCAATTCACTGCCAAAACCAGCAGGCAGCGGGCAGGCAGTCTGCTGATAATACTAGGATATTAATGGCCAGGACAATACCAGCTCAGCACCTCTGCCCTTTGGGTGTGAAAGAACCAGGAAACATTTAGACAGACCCCTGGCCTTCAAGCATTCACTTTTCCTCCCTTCCTCCTCCGACCTCTCAGAGCTGGTGGGTCATCACCTCAGGAGATTACCTCTTACTGGGCTGCTTTTCCCTAGGAGCTTAAAAATGAACCACTGAGTGGAAGGGGGCAGCACATAGGGAGTGATAATCAAGAGTAGTTCTCTAGTCCCTGAAGCTCAACCCTTCCCCTCTCTTTAAACTGACAAGAATTACACAGATTGGAGCCTGGTATTCAGCCTTCCCCAACAGACAGAACAGCTGCCAAATCAACTCGATATCCAACAAGTATAGTTTCCATAAAAGACATCCAATCAGACAACATACAGCATGTGAGGTGAATACTGAAAAGTCAGCTCAAGAATTTAAAATAAATATAGTAAATACAGATAAGAGAAAATATTAGCAATATAAAACAAGGAAAAAAACAAATGAAAATAATACCGATATAATAACTGACATAAAAGTAGGATATCTACCAACTGAAAGAGTCAATTGAGGAACTCACCCACAGAAATACAAAGACAGATGAAAGAGACAAAAAAGCATAAAACAAAAAGCTAAGAAATATGGAGGAAAAAAGTAGATGTGCTAATCTCTGCCAATCTCTGAAAAGGATAAGAAATGGAAAGAAGAGGAACTATGGGAAGAAATAATTTCCAGAATCAAAAAATTAAGGGACAGCATAGACTGAAGAGGCAATTCACCATGACAAAGAACTAAAATTCTATACAACAGCAACATGATCTGGCCAGGGTTGGGGAAGGAGGTGGAGACAGGGAGAGACAAAAACGATGTGTTAAGAATATGAGGGCACACCGAAATGCTTGACTTGTCAGATAAAGATTAAAAAAAAAATCAATAAGGATAAATAAACATGAGTACAATTCATGAGATAAGGACATCTATCATGGGAACAAAAATAGAATGTGTAATTTCCAAAACCATGGAAAGAAGAATAAAAGAAACAAAAAGGAAGTAGTCTAAATTATAAAATAAAAAAGCAGAAATAAGTCCTAATTAGAACAAGGACTAATTTGTAAATGGGTTAAATAAGTTTATTAAGATACTGTCAGATTAGATTTTTTTTTAAAAAAAGAAAAATACAATAATATACTATTTACAAGATACACTTAAAAATTTACAGAAGGTTGAAAATAAAAAGATGGGAAAACATACCACTCAAATGTGAAACAAAAGAAATCTTGGATAGCAATCTTATATATGACAGAATTTAATGTAAATGCACAGTGAGTTATAGAGACAGAGACGCAGGGAGAGCACAGGTGTGTGTATTTCTGTGTGTACACATATATATGGAAGAAAAAATGAAATAATGTATTTATTAAGATATTTAGCAAGTTGTAAAACAAAAGACAGTATCATCAGTTAAATCAAGTGCAAAACGCTATTGATTTTTTAGAATAAATAATTTTTTAGAATAAATGAATTTAAGTAAAGTCAAGAGAAAAAAGTGACCAATGGGTTTTAAAGGATTTTTTTTTTTTTAAAAAGAAAATGAGAAAAATTTGCTGGATAGGCTGAAGAAAAATACATAATTTTTCTCAAATGGATTGATTTTACAACAATATGTCCAAATTAGCCTATACACATATATCTTTCTTCCTGAAGTGTTGTTAATCATTATAGTTAGTCAATCAATGGATATAGTTCATACAGTCTACATTTCCACTGCCAAAGATATATAAATGACTTATAAATAAAAATTAAATGACTGATGAATAGGGGATTAGATTATGTAACACTAGATGTTCATATATTCCTTGACTTGTACATTTTCTGAAGATTAACATGATTTCACTCCCTCAACACACTGCAAATTCCTGATTCAGTGAGGACTGTAGCTATTTATAACCATCATGCATAACCAAAATAGAAAGTATTTTACAATTACCTAAAGCTCTCCCCAGTGTCATTCATAAATGTGCAAGTCCAATTTCTAGTACTTTTTCAAGTGTGTTCAGTTAAAATATAGTTTGAAAATGAGGGGAAACTCTAGGTGACAATTTTCACATAAGACAGCAAAGACAGTTGACCACAATAGACTCTTTCCAGCATAACAACTGGAATGCAGATCCCTTTCATTAAGAAGCTTTACTATTATTGACTTATACTTGAAAAATGAAATTTCCTTTAAAACTTGAAGTAACACAGTAAAGTTGCTTTTTTTTTCTCTTTCAATGTGTATTTTTGTAATGAAAAAAATGGCTAAACTCACATTTTCCATTGTAATATCATTTGAGACATTCATCAGGTTCACACTCTTGTCGACAGCTACGATACCAACTATTGAGTCTGGCCGTGTCACAGAGATCCTGAGAGAGACTTTCTCAGATGGTTCAGCATTGGCTTTACTCCAAAATAGCTGTATCTAAGAAAGTGAAAAAACAGAACTGATATAACACACTTTTTTAAAGCATTTCATATGTCTTATCAATAGCAGATCAGTGACAAAATTTAGCAAAGAGTCTACACTGTCTTGACTCAGGGACATTCCAAAACTGTCCACAAGTCTTTTCCAGGGAAAGGAGTAAAAACAAACTTCACTCCCACAGTGTCCTCAAGTCATGGAACCTCTCACTGGGGTATATATCAAAGTTTTCCTTTACTTCTCTACCCTTTTCCCTTTCTCCGCCTCCCACCCTACAGCTGCTAGCCAGTACTGAAGAGAAGACAGCGTCTGCCACACCCGGGGAGGGTCAGTATCCACGGGCAAGGACAGGAACGTGCCTGCACGCTGGCCACCTGGACTCAGAGGTGAGCGCCTGCAAGTAAGAGCCCCTGAGGACACACAGAACTGCCTGCGCTGGGCGGGGGTGCCTTTCCCCAGGAGGAGGCCATCAGACCAAACACGTCAGGCCCACTGCTCTGTGCCTCGATGGCCGCCTCAACCTGCTGTCATCAACCCTCAGCAAGGCACAGTCCCACTGGTGCTTCTTAAAGAGCATCAATCCTCTCACCCAGGGCTGGACCTAATGGCTTTGTCAGAAGGCCTCTTCCTCCTAGGAATGTTCATCTTGCCCAGCTCTATTCCAACAATCCCATGCCCCAGTGGCTGTACCACCTGATGAAGATGGCCTTCATGAATCCCTCAGCTTACTTGAATGTTAGACAGGCTTCTATCTGACATTAACTACCTGATTTCCCTTTCCTTAGAAAATCTGCAATTGCAAATGTTTTCTCTGCTCCTTTGAGATGTAAACCTTCTCCCAGCTTCCTGCTAGTTTTACCAGCAGAAAAGTCTTTCTCAAAGATCTGGGAGCCATCCTTTTGAAGTGTCTTCATTCAGTCACTCAGTCGTGTCCAACCCTTTGCAAGCCCACGGACTGCAGCACGCCGGGCTTCCCTGTCCTACACCATCTCCCTGAGTTTACTCAAACTCACGCCCATTGAGTCAGTGATGTCATCCAACCATTTCATCCTCTGTCATCCGCTTCTCCTCCTGCCTTCAATCTTTTCCAGCATCAGGATCTTTTCCAATAAGTTAGCTCTTTGCATCAAGTGGCCAATTTACTGGAGCTTCAGCTTCAGCATCATTCCTTCCAATGAATATTCAGGGTTGATTTCCTTTAGGATTGGCTGGTTTGATCTCCTTGCAGTCAAAGGGACTCTCAAGAGTCTTCTCCAACACCACAGTTCAAAAGCATCAATTCTTCGGTGCTCAGAATTTTTTATGGTCCAACTCTCACATCCATTGAACCATATACCAACTTCCCAGGTGGCTCAAAGAGTAAAGAATCCACCTGCAATGCGGGATACCTGGGTTTGATCCCTCAATTGGGAAGATCCTCTGGAGGACATGGAACCCAATCCAGTACTCCTGCCTGGCGAATCCCATGGACAGAGGAGCCTGATGGGCTACAGTCCATGGGGTCGCAAAGAGTCGGACACGACTGAGCAACTAACACTCTGACATCCATACATGACTACTGGGAAAACCATAACTTTGGCTATGTGGACCTTTGTTAGCAAAGAAATGTCTCTGCTTTTTAATATGCTATCTAGGTTTGTCATAGCTTTTCTTCCAATGAACAAGCATCTTTAAATCTCATGGCTGCAGTCACCATCTGCAGTGATTTTGGAGCCGAAGAAAATCAAGTCTGTCACTGTTTCCATTGTCACTTGGTCTATTTGCATTGAAGTGATGGGACTGGTTGCCATGATCTTAGTTTTCTGAATGCTGAGTTTTAAGCCAGCTTTTTCACTTTGAAGTGTTAATCATCAAGAAAGAGCCTTGATTGATCTCCCAGTCTCTGTGAGTGAATAGGAGCCTAACTTATAAACTCACAGATGGCCTGCTCACATTGACCAATCCCTCCCCCAACGTCCTCCAATACTTTTTCATTAACTCACCCCAGTATTTAAAAACCTTCCTGCCTTCTGTTTCAGTGGAGTTGAGTTCCGTCTCTCTCCCCTACTGCAATAGTCTTAAATAAAGTCTTCCTTCCCTGTTTAACTTGCCTGTTTAACAATCTTTTTTTCACATGCCTCTTAAGCCACTGTGTTAGGTTTACTCTTCTCCACTCATATCTTAAATAAGGTGAGAGGGGAACGCATAATATGCAAACCTTGCACTTCTCACCCTTTACTCTGCACTTCAGTGACTCCATAGCTCCAAACTGCACTTCTGTGCTGACAATTTCTGAAACTACATGTCTTGCCTCTCTACATCCCACATATTTATTCCACAGTCATTACTGAACATCCACAAAGATTCATTAATTTTCTTGTGTTTAAACATATTTTATTTCCAAATACATAATTTCTTTTGGAGTAAAAGTGGTAAACATTATCATATAAAAATTGAAGAATTATCTTTGCAAACACAACCAAAACTAATTCCTTACAGCTCATACTAAGAAGTTTCTTGGAAGTATGCTATTTATACACACTGTTTCCTCAAAGCCTCTTACACAGAAACATTTTTTAGAACCTGCTCTCACTTTCAGAGTTCTAGAAAATATATGAATTTCTAACCAATTTGTTTTAACGATACTTTCTAAAGAAATACTACATTTTGCAGACTTTATGAATATGAAGTTTTCTTTTTAAACATCATTACCTTAAATCTTACCTTATTTTTAAAAACAAGCTGAACAGGAATTTTCAGAACATCATTTATAATTTCCCCATCATCTTCAATATAATACACAATGATACAGGCTTTTGGGGCCCAAGAATTTTCTGGTGTTAAGGAAAAGGTTGTTGAATTTTGCTTGCCTACAGCCACCAACTGTCCCCTGGACACAACCTGAAAAGAAGAGTACACGAGTTTCATTTTGTGCTAAAGAAATCTCAATACCTCAATATCAGCTATGCTTTCATAATTTTAAGCATACATACAAATTCTCGAGTCAAGCCAACATCAAATCCTTTCTGAATACACACACCCACAAATAAACTTTCCTGTCTAACACAGGGCATATACGCTGGTCACTAGAAAAGGAGAAGATAAAGTAACCATCACGGAGGCAAGAGCAACTCAGCAGACAAGAATCTATTCCCGAGTTTAAGGAACGCAGAGCACCACTGAGAGAGGTGGATTAGCAAAATGACAAGGCTATGGGAGCAATTTTCTTTTTTTCTTTCTTACGTTTTATAATTTTCTACAACGAACACAGGGCTTCCTGGCGGCTCAGACAGTAAAGAATCTGCCTGCAATGCAGGAGGTCCAGGTTCAATCCCTGGGTCTGGAAGATCCCCTGGAGGAGGGAATGGCTACCCACTCCAGTAGTCTTACCTGGAGAATCCCATGGACAGAGGAGCCTGGCTGGGGTATAGTCCATGGGGTCACAAAGAGTCAGACATGACTGAGCAACTAACACACACATGCACACACATAATGAACATATGTGGCTTACCTCAAAAAAATATAAATTTTAAACATAATGCAAGGTGGTTTCATTGTTCATCTTAAGTTGGAAATACAAATATAGGTAAAGAAAGAAAAAAGATAGTTTGATTTCAGTATAAATGGGCAGCTTAAAAAGGAATGAGGCTGATTTACAGCAACATGGATGCACCTAGCATGATAAGTGAAACAAGTCAAAAAGAGAAACACAAAAACTGTATGATATCTCTTCTACGTGGAATCCAAAATATGACACAAAGGACTACCCTGGTGGTCCAGAGTTAAGAATCTGCCTTCCAATGCAAGGGATGCAGGTTTGATCCCTGGTCTGGGAAGGTTCCACATGCCAAGGAGTAACTCAGCCCGAGCTCCAACTACCGAGCCCGCACGCAGAGCTGGTGCTTACAACAAGAGAAGCCACCGTACTGAGAAGCCCAGGAACTGCAAGGAACAGCAGCCCCCACTGACTGGAACTACAGAAAGCCTACTCCCAGCAACAACGCCCCAGCACAGCCAAAAATAAATACACAATTTTTAGAAAAATTTTAAAAAGAAACAGAAACAGACTCACAGACATAGAGAACAGTCTTGACGTTTCCAAGGGGGAGGGAAGGTAGAAGAGGGATGGGCTGGGAGGCTGGGTTGCAAACTACTATATATAAGATGAATAAACAAGGACCTACTGTATAGCACAGGGAGCTATAGTCAACATACTATAATTATAATTATAACATAATCCATTATGGAAAAGAAATTGTCAGGAAGCATTTAACAAGAGGCTTCCTGTGTGCTGTTGTAGATCTGTCAGGAACCCTCTGGCCCTCATTGATTCCTGAATATTCAGGAATTAAGAGGAGAGAGCTCACTTTCTCGCCCAGGCTTCTCAGACCCTCTCGAGCGCCTTCACCCACTCGAGAGGGCGCCCGGTGCCTCCGTGCAGCAGCGCGAGCCCTAAGAACAGGGTTCTATTGGCTTTCCGTGTAAACCAGGGGATGTCAGCCTCTTTCTCTCTCCTACTCTCTGGACCACCAGGTTCCGGTCCATTAAAGGACCAACCGGAATAAAATGTTAAGTTCTGTAAAGTAAATTTATATGCAACTTAGACATAGAAAAGTCTGTAAGAATGTACATAAATACTATATCCTGTGCATGTATAATATGCAAAATATGTTTTTGTTAAGTGTGAGGCTGAATTTTAAAAATCAGTAAGTTCAGTTTAAACATAAGATAGACACTATGTCAGACGATTCTACAATAGATCATAAATTCAGATTGTGTAAGAGATTACCAGGGCTTCCCTGGTGGCTCAGCAATAAAGAATCTACCTGCCCATGCAGGAAACATGGGTTCGATCCCTGGTCGGGAAACATTCTGCATTCTGTGAAGCAACTAGGCCTGTGAACCACAACTACTAAGCCTGTGCTCTAGAGTCTGGGGGCTGCAACTACTGAGCTCAGAAGCTGCAACTACCGAAGTCCGGGCACCCTAGAGCCTGTGCTGAACAACAAGAGAAGACCCTGCTGTCTGCAACTAGAGAAAAGCCCCCATAGCAACGAAAACCCAGCACAGTCAAAAATTAATTTAAAAATAAAGAAAATTATTTTTTAAAAGAGATTACCATGTAACTTAACTCCTTCAACTGCTTGTTGCCAATAACCACCAACTCAAATGGTGATCCCACCTAGGAAAAAAATTTAATTAATAAATACATATCAATGTCAAGACAGTTCAATTATATTATCATTAACACATGATTGCAAGCCTTACCTTTATATTCTCATCTTTTGCTTTCAGCTGGATGTAGGTTTTACTAGGAGACTTAAACATACCATGAACTGCCATGTTACTTATACTATCGAGAAAAGAAGCCTATAACAAAAGAAAAGGGAGCCATGAACTTTCATCTTCAGAAGCATCAGGATACGGAATGTGACCAGACTGGACAATCAGTGAAAGGCAAATTCACTTTCACTTTTTTTCATACAGCAAACAATATACTCCCCAGACATTGGATCATCATCATTTTATAGCTTACACTGTAAAGAAACTGATGGCTGTAAAATGTGTTAGATGATCTTCTTCATCATCATCTAAGAGGAAAAAACACAGTCCTAACTTATTTCCAAAACAAAGGTGTGTTCTCACACTTTTCAGAGGAGATTTCTCACACTGTGAGAGGAGAGGAAAAAATGGAAAAGGAATCCTTTCTTCTCCCCACAACACAGAGCTCAACTATCAGCAAGAAACAGAATCAGCTCACTCAGTCCACCGCTGGGGAGAGGAAAACTCAGACAGGCCACACTGTGGCAGGGCTGAGTAACCCAGAAAGAGGGAGGGGGATGTAAAAAATATATTCCCCTTTCATTTTCAGCTCCTGCCAAAATACAATTCCAAATGATTGAAAAGCACCTAGACTGGAAGTTGGGAGTGCTTCTCCATCATGTCTTCCGGTCACTATTTTACTGTGTTCTTCAAAATGAATTTACAAGGAAGCATTCAGTCTAACTCAGCCACCGCCATTAAATCCCTTTTAATCCCTCCTCCCGCTCTTTTAAATAAAACTATGTGTCCACTTCCTGTGCACTTTAACCTCCCAACCAGTTGAGTGCCCGCCACCAGACTGCAATTTTAATACTGTTGTTGCAGGAACATAATGATGGGAAACACATGGCACCTTCACTTGTAGCTCGCTGGAATCATCCAGGATTGGAAATTCGATCTTGAAGATTCCATTTGCGGGGACAGTATGATTTATGATCTGGACAGCCCCTACATCCTGATTTCGAGTGTCCCATCTGCTCCAGTACTCAGTATAGTTTCTCTGAGTCACCATTAAGACTACATTATTTCTTCTTTCTTCAGGAGTCAGCTGATGACCATCAGAACGGGTTACCTTTACCTAATTGTCAAAAGAAAACACTGTGAAATCAGGTAAACAGAAGCAAAGGATTTAAGTTTAATTGAACACAGTTTCCATCTGTGCTGTTCCCAGGAACCTGAACTCTCAAAAGTCATCAGCAGTCCCCTAACTTCCAGGTTCAGAGGTCTCTCCAGGCAGCCTCCACTCCACTTTTTTTGCCTTCCACGGCTCCACAACAACCTCCTTCACTCCACACCTCTGTTTCTACATCGTATCAGTGTCCGTTTTGGTTCCCCTTCCCTCTCTCGAATTGTGGGAATTTGTCAAAGCCTCATTATCATTTAACCTCAAAGGTCTCAGCACTCCTGCTGCCATCCTGACCTAGCTCTGGAACTCACACTCGTACCTCCAAGCCCTCAAGGAAATTTCTACCTGTACAATCCCATTGTCTCAAATTTAACACATCTAAAACTGGGAAACCATCTTGCTTTCCTGTTTGTTCTAATATCACAGTTCTACCATACTTAACATCTGTGCATTGCCCATCCCTCTCCCCACCTTCCCAATCTGATGCCTACCAAGTCCTAAACGTCTTTTACAAGCTCTCCAGCCACATCCACCACTGCCGGGCTTCTAATGGCTTCATGCCAGGACTACCACCCTCCTCCCACACACAGACCCCACCAGTCACCCTGGAACCCAGCTTTTGCCACATCCCTCCCATGTTCATGAGGCTTCAAGCTCTTCACTGTGCAGAGCACGTAAGACACGGAGGACCCTCTGCGATCCCCACGGAGCACGTGGGACACGGAGGGACCCTCTGCGATCCCCGCGGAGCACCTGGGACACGGAGGACCCTCTGCGATCCCCGCGGAGCACGTGGGACACGGAGGACCCTCTGCGATCCCCCCAGAGCACCTGGGACACGGAAGACCCTCTGCGATCCCGTGGAGCATGTGGGACACGGAGGACCCTCTGCGATCCCCATAGAGCACGTGGGACTCGGAGGACCCTCTGCAATCCCCATAGAGCACGTGGGACATGGAGGACCCTCTGCGATCCCCGCAGAGCACGTGGGACACGGAGGGACCCTCTGCGATCCCCGCGGAGCACCTGGGACACGGAGGACCCTCTGCGATCCCCGCGGAGCACGTGGGACACAGAGGACCCTCTGCGATCCCCCCAGAGCACCTGGGACACGGAAGACCCTCTGCGATCCCGTGGAGCACGTGGGACACGGAGGACCCTCTGCGATCCCGGCGGAACACGTGGGACTTGGAGGACCCTCTGCAATCCCCATAGAGCACGTGGGACATGGAGGACCCTCTGCAATCCCCAAGCTTCACCTTCAGTTTCCTCTCTGACCGGTCCCAGACATGAGCTATCTGCAGCCGCCACTGGGTCCAGTCACTGACACCTGATTGCACCCTGACGTGCCACCCAAAACTCTTGCTTTGCATCTCAGCTCATCTTGTTGCCCGCTCCCAACTGACACACTCAAACACTGAAAATGCTGCTGATCTTGCAACCAAGAGCTTAAATCTTCCCCTTCCAACGACCCCCACCCTATCCCCCAACCAGCTCTTCTTCCCTGAACTCTCTTTGTCCCTCTAATCATTTGGATGTTACCATGTGCAGATTCCTAGGTGACAGTTTCTGCAGATTTCTTTATAACTATCCTTTCAAACTGTCTGAATTATAAGATTGTTAAAATTAGGAGCTAAAACTTTTTTTCTCACTAGATTACCAGTTTATTGTAACAGGATACTGAACAAAATGAAAAGGATCGATGTTCAGGCCAAGGAACCAGGAAAGGACCCTCTCTGAGCACATTCTTTCCCCCAAATCTCCACAGTCACCAACCTGGAAACTCTAAAACTTGTCTTGATCTGCTCAACAGAAACTGACCCCTTTCTCTTTACACCAGGGGCTAGCAAACTATGGCAGGCAGGAAGACCAAATCCAGTCTCTCTGACGTAAGGTTTTACTGGAACACGGCCACCTCCCTTGGTTACCAAGTGGCTCCGGCTGCTTTCATGTTACAATGTCAGAGTCGCACAGCTGTGACTGACCACGTGGCCCGCAAAGCTAAAAATATTTACTATCTCGCCCTTTGCAGAAAAAGTTTGCCAGTTTTAAATCCCTACAGAAATGTGTTCATGACACATTTATCCTGCCTTGAATTACAGCCATGTGTGTATTCTCTTGTCACCATCACAAATACTGTGAATCCAGGACTGGGGCTGGGGTCTTCCTAGGTCAGTAAGCCCCACCCAGCAGCATGCCTTGCAGACTGTCAAAATTCACTTGACCAATAAATGTTAACGCAATATTCTCTCAAAAAAGTGAGACTGAATTGATAATTTTTTAACTTTTGAAGGCAGCCTGCAGCATGGGGAACCTTAGGTCCCCAGTTAAGGATTGAACCCATGCCCCTACATTGGAAGGCAGAGTTTTAACCACTGGACTACTGGAGAAGTCCCAGACTAGATGATCATCTTCAATGCTACATCTTTGCTAGAACTAAAATTAGTCATAAAAATCAATTTGAAATTTGAAACTTTGAAATTGAAATTTTTTACTAGCATCTAAACCCTTCCATTAATTTCTAACATATATTACTTATTAAAATACTTTGAATAAAATATATTTTGGAAACTACTTTTTAAAAGTAAATTAGAAAAAATAAAATTAAAAAAAAAAGTAAATTAGATAGAGGTCATTTGGAAACAATTCTGTGTGCCTCGTATATCTAAAGTGGAAAAGTAACTTATCTACTTTGGGCTTAAATTTTTTTGAAAACCACTAAAAGTACTCTCTCCCATCCTGTTTCACTAAACTGAACTTACTGCTTTAGACCATTATTAAACATGCCAACTTACAGTGGCTGTGAAGTTGAGAGATGGCTTCAAGACAGTAGCATAGTCAAAAAATTCAATGATGTAATCGTGCTGCTTGAAAAATACATTGGAGCTTGCATTTCTTGAGATACCTGTTTTGGAAATTGCACCCTTTAGACAGTTAAAGTAATATATAACCACCAGCTTTGATCCACCACATCTCTCCATCTGAGCTACTTCCCAAAGGGTTAGGATATCAGAGCACAGAAGCCTCTTTGGCTTGGCCACAAAAAGGAACATCAGTTCTATTATGTCCTTTGTGGATCCCTTCTGAGCACTATCAGAGCCCCCCATCAATGACATGTGCACCCAAGGCCACTGACAGAATAGTCTTTTTGTACTTCTAGGGATTGATGAAAGCCATTAAAATAGCAACAGAAAGATCCAAGTAATTAACTTTTATTTTATTATTAAAAGAGAACATGGTCTAGGAAGAGGTGAGATTTCAGAGGACATTATTTTTTAAAAAGTTAAAGGAGGATGGTTAGTCAGCTAAAAAGGTAGCCCTTCCATGTAGTTTTCAGGTTGGAAAAAACAGTAGAGATGGAAAAAATTATGAATACCTATCACAGGTGGTTGAAGCACAATTGTTCAAAGAAAATAAGTTTCCCCTTCATTATGAAAACATTCTGCAAGTTAGACTAATATTCATGACAATTTCAGCACTAAATAGCATCCTTAGGCAACAGTGCCCTCAAATGAACATGCTAATTATATAAGAAATGATAGAGCGGCACATCATACAGAGCTTCGCCTGTGCTTCAAAGTCTACAAACCTGTAAGTGATTCTGTCACTGTGGCTAAGATTTCTACTGGCCCAGGAGAAGACAGGTACATGTGTTCAGAAGGTCCATCCGAAAACTCCATTACCTTTTTCATCTCTTCATCATTAAAAGAGAAGTTTGCAGATCCATTTATCTGTTTTGTTAAAAAATTTTCAATTTCATTCTTCACTTTAGCACTTCAAATTTTAGAAATAAAATTCAAACTAAGTCACAACAATACAAAGGTTCTATTTCCACTTTAATTATTTTAATAAATAGGCAAATTCTTGTTTGTCCAATGATAGAAAGCTCTTGATTTTCTCATGCTCAACTTTTTGTTAATTCGGTATGAAATCTTATTTCTGGGGAATGTATACATAGTTTTTCCCCATTACAGGTTAAAAGATATCTGCAAAAGTTACCTTCAATGTTTTTGTAATATTTTTCTTCACACCCCAGAAGGATAAAGGTAAAAATGTAAGTGTTAGGTCTCCTTTCACAGGCTTCCCATATGTATACCTGAAAAATAATAAACAGGACCTAACTTAAAAGAATTATATTAAAAACATGCTCTTACTACAAATTTTTAAAACTAAAACATAGGAATGTGCTGAATAAATGGTGATCCTTGATACTAAGTCTCCAAAGTGGGAAGATTTTTTACTACAATACCTCAAAACAGTTCACAACACACACACTTTACCCAGCCTCCTGGAGAAAATCTGATCATAACTGGAAGTGACAGTTTCCTGTTGAAAGATTTCTTAAAAGATTATGAAAATCTTTTATTCTTAGAAGTCTGGACTGGCCCATTAGCTGCATGCCCAGGAGACTTTGTAACTTTTGAACATTTTAAAATGTTTTTCCTGCATGTTTCAAAAACCATCAGGGTTTATTAGACCAACACACCAGGGCACCAAATGTGCTCATAGCTATTGAAAATTCACTTTTTGAAAGAAAATTTAAAATAAGAGCAAATTATCCATATAACCAAAATTATCTTCTTGAGTCAAGAAGGTATCACTCTTGCTGATTTGCATTCTACTTTTTAACTGTATCGTCTCTCACGAAGGGAAAGTCTCTTTGTGTAAAGGAGAGGCAGTCTTTGGTAAATCATTTTACTGTCAGAAAGCCTTCTGTAAATGTGTTTCCTGGGTTCCTTCCATCTCTATTACGAAATGCTCAGCCAAACATGAAAGCTAATTTTATTTTGCACTCTAAAAATGTGACTGTTAACTCCTGCTTCCTGAATCCCTCATCTGGATCACAGAAAACATCCCCTTGTCTGGATCAACTCAACTCAAAAACTGATAATAAAATATAGCATATTCCACAATTTAAAAAATAAAACAGTCCATATTCAAATGTACCACCCTTCCAAACAAAAACAATAAAGTTAGTGGAAACCCCCAGATAGCAATATCAGCATCAAATTCATATGTTCAAAAGAGTTCTCAAAACCTAACTCTGCTTGTATCTTGTTAAAAATTAAATAAATGCATAACTAGAACACCAGAACATCATTATTTTAAAAGTTATATCACATGATAGTACAGGGAGCTGAGAATTCATACATTATTTAAAGTACTGTCAGACACAAATATTTTTAATTTTGATTTAAATGTGACATGGATTTAGTTTTCCAAGTCCCAAGCTGATTTATTTATGATAATCATGAAACAAGGATACTGACATTATTGTGCTAAACAGAATCTAGATGCTTTGGGGAATAAACTAATCATTCAGAGAGTAACAGTTTAACTTTTAAAAAGTATGTCAAAGATATTCTATGATATCATTAACAAAACAAGGATTTTTTTTTTTTTTTTTTTTTTTTTTTCCAGCATACATAGCACAATAGGTTTACAAAATAATACCTAAAACAAGTGAACCTATCATTATAATTCATATATTTCTCCCCACCATTTTTTCCATGTCATTTCCGGGATACAAATATCTCAACTCATCAAATAATAACTATATCTTAATAAGCCTTAGATTATAAAAACAATACTTTTGAAGTTCTACTGTCCACAAATGTTATGGAAGTAACTAGATGTATGCCATGTTATTTTCTTTACAATCCTCTTAAACCTAGTATGATGAGAAGAAAAAATCTATTATTTATTTTAATGAGGTGGGAATAGTGAGCAGATGTTCACATCAAAGCTAATAAGCATATGCAGGTTTTTATTCATCTCGGCTAAAAATTTTGAAACTAAAAGAGAGTGTTAACCTTCTGCTCCAGGAAATTTCCAGTAACCCTCTGCACATCAGCTATACTTTGATGGGATAGATGGCCACAAGCAAAAGTAACCAAAATTGTTGTCATCCGCTCATAGAGAGGACTATAAGAGCTAATCATTTCTATAACTTAATAACAACTGTCCAAGTGGCAAGACAACAGAACTCATCTTTCAAAGTACACACAAGAGACAACTGGATTTCAAGTCCTTCTCTTTACTCCCTAATTTGGTGACAAAACCAAAACTACTGCCCATACACCTTAATTTAGTTCACTCAAAATAAGAGGCTTTTGATTAGGTATAGAGGCCTCTGCTGTGCTACACACAGCTTGAAACTGAAATCTTAGGAGTCACATTGTTTTATCTATGTACTCTTTCAATGGGCATTTATTAGAAGCCCACTCCATGACTGACACTGTGCAGTGCTAACCACAACACAGACCCACCCTCAAAGAGGTGATCGAGCCACGTGGTCTAAGGACAGAAGCTTGGGGGCAAGAAGCCACACACTGAAATCACCTATGTAAAGGCGTCTTGGGCAGAAAAAGCATTGCGCCTTCTTGGACGCACAGGTAAAATCTGGGGAGAGACTTTGGGAGGGGAGATGAAGGGCTGAGCGAGGTGTTTCAAAAGACTTGAAACTAGAAAAGAACCTGGTAAGAAACACTAAAAATTCTGAACTTCACCCTCAAGGCAGTGGTCTGAAAACTTTCATGCAAAAGGGCAACAGAATTAGCTTTGTTTTTTCAGTCTAAAAAGAACGCAGAAGTGGTAGGGATTTGGGGGAGAAGAGGAGGAGGAGAAAGAGAGAAGGAAAGAAGAGGAGACAAGAAGAAGTCTGGATGCAAAGTACAGAAAAGACTAAATGTCGCCAAAATGGAGGCAGGAAACACTTCTAAGAAACTACAACAGTAGCTGAAGAAAGAATGAGACATTGGCCTGAGTGAAGGAGGTGCCAGTGGAGAAAAGGGGATGGATTATTTGAGAGATACTAAGGAGAGAGAGGGCTTCCCTGGTGGCTCAGCTGGTAAAGAATCTGCCTGCAACGCAGGAGACCTGGGTTCGATCCCTGGGTTGGGAAGATCCCCTGGAGAAGGGAAAGGCTACCCACTCCAGTGTTCTGGCCTGGAGAATTCCATGGACTATATAGTGCATGGGGTCGCAAAGAGTCGGACACGACTGAGCAACTTTCACAAGGAGACAGAACCAGCAGCACTGGATGCTGACTGGCTGTGAACCGAGGGAGTCGGAAGAGTACAGCTGAACCAGGCAGCTAGAGAGAGGGAGGTCAGTCCACCAGGAGAAGGGTGCAGAGAACCAGGGCTGCAGAAGACAGCCTGCTTCAAGTATCTGCGGGACATCCAGTGGGCAATGTCCAGTGAGCAGCGAGACATAAGGATCTGACTGTCAAGCCAGAAATGAAGGCTGGAGATACAGATGTTGTTGTTGTTGTTGTTGTTTAGTCACTAAGTCATGTTGGACTCTTTGGGATCCCAGGGACTAGAGCCCGCCAGGCTCTCCTGTCCATGGGATTTCCCAGGCAAGAATACTGGTGTGAGCTGCCATTTCCTACTCCAGGGGACCTTCCCGACTCAGATATCAAACCTGTGTCTCCTGCATTAGCAGGCATATTCTTTACCACTGAGCCACCAGGGAAGCCCGGTATGGATTCAGGTTTCATCAAATTATCAATAGGAGCAGAAGCTCTGGCCATGGAGAAGAAAACTCTGAGTAAATGCGTAAAAATAGAAAAGAGCCAAAGACGGAGCTCTAAGGAATAAGAAGGTTTTCAACGTGGACATTGTCTGCAAAGAGCCTCAAAGGAATAACCAAAGGAAAAGGAGAAAAGCCAGAAAGAAAATGAGGACAGCAATGATCAGTGCTGCAAGGCGGGGCAAAAATTTGTAACAGCCTAAGAAAGCAGCCACAAGGTGAGGCAAGGAGGAGGCTTTGTGCCGTAGTGGAAGCAGTTTCGATCCATGGTGAAGGAGAAAAGCAGGACGCAGGGGGCTGAAGAACAAACAGGATGTGAAGAAGCAGAAACAGGCAGCTGGAACTCTACAAAGAGGTGAGAGATGGGGCAGCAGCTAGAAGGAGGCCGGATAATCAGAGAGGGTTTGCTTCCTTCAATGACAGACACGTTTAAACACAGAGTGAAGATGCCAGCAAATAGCAGAAGGTTAAAGACACCAAATGGAAGAATTCAGACACAGGTAAGAAGCAAAGTGGGCCAGGATTCTCCCGACAGGAGACCCAGTCCAAGGCAAACTGGAAGGATGAGCCTGAAGGAAGGGGAGATGGGTTCTCAATAGACATAGGATGATGGCAACTTTATCATCATCACCTCCATCTCCTCCAGGACACAGTATTTATAGATTAGGTCTATGTCAATTTTGAGAGACTGGTAAAAGACCTTGCTAGTCAAAAGGTTTCCTGACTCTGTTGCAAAGTTGAAAATTACATACACCATCTGAGTAAAAGCAGACCCTCCAGAAACGCACTGGTAGACTGAGAACTCATGAATGCTGGAGTGGAGAAGGACCGTTTATCCACAGACCTCAAGCAAAGGGCCTCCTCAGCCATCTTGAGAGCCACCCATTTGAACTCACACATAAGATCTGAGCTGCCCTGGGCCAGACTGCCTTCCTCGGCCCCCACTGTGGACACCCCCAGGCAACTGAAGCCTGAAAGAAGGGGTAATAGGAAGTCCTCGGAATGGACTACAGGCAGACCTCATTTTATTGTGCTTTGCTTCACTGCACTTCACAGATACTGTGAAGTGACAGATACTGTATTTTTTTACCAACTGAACTTCTGTGGCAAGCTCGCAATAAGGAAGGGCTTCGCTGGTGGCCCAGATGGTAAAGAATGTGCCTGCAATGCAGGAGACCTGGGTTCAACCCCTGGGTCAGGAAGATCGCCTGGAAAAGGGAATGGCTACCCACTCTTTTTGCCTGAAAAATTCCACAGTCAGAGGAACCTGGTGGGCTACAGTCCATAGGGTCACAGAGTTGGACATGACTGAGCGACTAACACTTTCACTTTTTGATACTCAAGTCTACTGGTGCCCTTTTCCCAAAGCCATCTGCTCATTTCAAGTCTCTGCGATATATTTTGGTAATTCTCACAATATTTCAAGCTTTTTCATCACTATTTTATTTGTTGTGGTGATCTGTGATCAGAGATCTTTGATTTCACTACTGCAAACACATTACAATTCACCAAAGGCTTGGATGATGGTTAGTCTTCTTTGAGAATAAAGTACTTTTTAATCAAGGTAGTTAGGTTGTTTTTTTAGACATAATGCAATTGAAGTTGAATGGGACCCTGTGGGGCTCCTGGGCACAAAAACCTTTCTGTGTCCCCTTTCCTGCCTTCCAAAGGACATGTTCAAGCAGCTGTTAATCCGGGAAGGGAGAGGATGGCAGAGACAAGGGACGAGCAGTCAAGAAACAATAGTTCAGCCTTGGGGCAGGGTCCTGGTTCTGCCTCAAGGGATACACAGAACAGTGTCTTTGAGCTCTTCTGCAGAACTAAAACCCCCACCAAACAGAAGATCTTAACTACTTGAAGATGCACTCTTCATTCCAGGTAAGGTCACAGTTCGCCCACCATCACCTGACACCAGAGGATCCCTGCACTGAAGGAACACCTGCCAAAACCTTGGCTCTCTGTGCACCAGGGTCAAACAGAAATATGCAGACAGAGTAAGGAGGAAAAGGGAAAAGCGGCTTTACTTTGCCAGACAAAAGGGGAACACAGTAGGCTAGCGCCTCAAGAACTGTGCCCCACTCTCCCTGGTGAATAGGAAGCAGTTACATAGTCAGGCTTCCCTGGTAGCTCAGATGGTAAAGAATCTGCCCCGCAACTGTTCCCATCTGCCCTTTGCATTTATTTATTTTTGGCTGCCCTGGGTCTTTGTTGTTCCACGTGGGCTTCCTCTAGTTGCTCTGAGTGGGGGCTAATCTCCAGGTTTCTCCTTGTGGTGGCTTCTCTTGTTGCAGAGTATGGGCTCTGGAGCTCAAGGGCTTCGGCACTTGCAGCTCACAGGCTCTATAGAACGCAGGCTCAGCAGGTGTGGGGACCGAGCTTAGTTGCCCATGGCATGTGGAATCTTCTCGGACCAGGAATCGAACCCATGCCCCTTATGTTAGCAGGTGGTTTCTTAACCACTGGACCACCAGGGAAGTCCCCCAAAGTCTGCCCTTTGGAACTCAGGAAAGGTCATGGAGGCTGGAATCTTGCCTACAAGAAATGGGGACAGAAAGCCCCTGGGCCGGGAGGTCCCCAGGGCTCTGCTTGGCATGAGGAAGAGGCTGTTAGTGTTGTGGCTTCAAGGGATTTACCCTCCCTGAAAACTGTATAATAAATTTTCTAGACAGTTACCAGAGTTTAAGAACCACTGTTTTAACTAGTTGTGTTTAAATCCCTGGCACATGCCTGAAAACTAAAAACAGAAAAAAGAAGATATCCACTTTCAACTTAACCCATGTGCACACAGATGGTTTATGTGGATTTGCAGTCACTAAGTTTTATATGTGTTAGTCAAAGAATTCCAAATAAAACCCAGACAGAATACTTGACCTTCAGCTAAGATCAAGAGCAGGATAATAATATGAAAAAGTAGGCATTTATGTGTTTTCTAAACCATAAATCCAGCCACAGTACCCACATTCACACTGGAAGCTACCTCTTAGTTGAACTAGCTTGGTATACAAATCGTAGACACATTTTTGCCTTTATGTCACATGGATTCACATGATTTGTTTGCAAGAAGAACCTAAAACAGGAGTCCTCAGATGTTTTGGTATGTGAACTCACTGCCCATGCTTGCCACTGCCACAGACACCCAACAAGAGAGGAATACTATGAGGAGACAGTGGTGACGTGGGGTACAGTTATTACCAATTATTACAGATAAATTCTGAAACTAAATAAATTTCACAAACTTGAGTACAGACATTGACACATAACTTCCCTGGTGGTCTGGTGGATAAGAATCTGCCTGTCAATGCAGGGGACACAGGTTCGATCCCTGGTCCAGGAAGATCCCACATGCAAAAGTACACCACAACTACTGATTCATGTGCTGCAAGTACTGAAGCCCGGGCACCTAGAGCCTATGCCCTGCAACGAGAGGCCACCACAATAAGAAGCACACAGACTGCAATGAAGAGTAGCCCCTGCTCGCCACAACTAGAGAAAGGCCCCCTGCAGCAACAAAGACTCAACACAATCAAAAATGAAATGCATAAATTAAAACCCTGGTGGCTCAGAGGGTAAAGAATCTGACTCCAATCCAGGAGACCTGGGTTTGATCCCTGGGTCAGGAAGATCCTCTCAATAAGGGAAGGGCAACCCAGTCCACTATTCTTGCCTGGAGAATCCCATGGACAGAGGGGCCTAGCAGGCCAAAGTCCATGAGGTCACAAAGAGTCGGACACAACTGAGAGACGAACACGTACACACATACACACACACACACACATACACAAGATAAATGCTGCACAGCACAGCCTTTCTTGGGAAGGAAAAGCAAGCACTTCTCCAAAAGAGCTCCAGAGGACACCAGGAGTCTGCTGAGGTTTACTGGGCCCGCTCTCTGGTCTGGGAGAGGAGATGCAAGTGACACAGAGGAGGGACAACTGAACAGGAAAGGGTACTGCAATGCTCCATCAGGTCCCAGGTCCTCAGAGGGTTAGGTGGGACCCCAGCCCACAGGCTGCACTCCCGAGGAGGCCTTAGCCACCCAGGCCAACTCCAGCCCACTGACAGGTAGCCAAGGAGGGACCCATGTCACAGGTGTCGCCCCAGCCAAGTGCTTGCAAACCCTGGGAGATGGGGAGGGACCAAAAAATTTGAAACTAAATTAAAATGTTTAAATGCTACAAGAAATCAGTGCTGGATTTACTTGAGGGCAAATTCACCCTATACTTTGAAGAGCCACTGATCTGGAAACCCGAGCATGCTTTTTGCTTCAGCAAAACAAAGTGCCGTGCTCTTCAAGCCAGTGGATCAAAAATCATGAAATCATGGAAGCCACTAGACAGAAGTTACATAGCGGGGGCCTGGAAGTCTCTGTACACACATGCTGAAATGGATGATGAATGTGACTTACTGATGCATCTGCCAACCGCAATAAGGGAACCAAGTGAAAAAAATGTGTTAGTCGCTCAGTCACATCTGACTCTTTGCAACCGCATGGACTGTAGCCCGCCAGGTTCCTCGGTCCATGTATTTCTCCAGGCAAGAAACTGGAGTGGGTAGCCATTCCCTTCTCCAGGGGATCTTTCTGACCCAGGGATCAAACCCGGGTCTTCCACATTGCAGGCAGATTCTTTACCATCTGAGCCACCAGGGAAGCCCCAAGGGAACCAATCCCCTCCCCAAAGTCTCAACATCCATTATTGACAGAGAAAATAGTTAGCATTTAAAAGAGTAAGTTGCCTTAACTCAAGTCAGCTGAATGAGGAATAAAGTGTTTTTTTTTTTTCAATCCTGCAGAATCTATAAGGTAAATCTCTTGACTAGTCTTGGAAAGATATGAGCCTATGGGGACTATTTTAGGATTGGATCAGCTTAGAAGCAGAGAAATGGCTGCAAAGACCTGTGCAGACATGTTCCGTGCCTAATTATTTATTATAAACACTTGCTTCCTGTCCATTGGGGTATTTTAACAAGCAACATGTTGCACTCATGTTCTGGGGTATATAATGAGCTCTCTGTCATGCAGTTTCACAATAGTTTGTAGTCATAAAAAGCAATATGATACTTACTTTGCGGTGACAGTACCATTTAAACTCTTAGAATTTAAAGAACAATATAATGGTGTCTGCAAAGCAACTTCAAACTTTGGTAATACTGGAAAAGAAAAGCAAGAATGTTTTAAACAGTCCATTTGCCTCTCATTTTACAGTTTAACAAACTATTGAATAGAACTGTTCTAAAGGAGTTGGTATTATTTAAACTTAAATTCGTTAGGCTCCAAATACACGTTAACACATAGATGAAAGTACTTCACTCCACTCAAAAGCTAAAACCCCATAAGGCTGGTGATGAGACACTGAATGGGGAGGGGTGCTGTGGACACTCATGTCTGTGAAGCCTCCCACTGGCAGAATCCAAACTGTATCCAGATACCTAACAAGGACGTACTGTATAGCACAGGAAACTCTTCTCAATGTTATGTGGAAGCCTGGGTTAGAAGGAGTTTGGGGGAGAATGCATACGTGTACATGTATGGCTGAGTCCCTTCACTGCTCACCTGAAACTATCACAACATTGTTAATCGACTGTAGCTCGGATACAAAATAAAAAGTTTAATAGAAAAAATTAAAAATAAATAAATTGCATCCAGAACCCTAGAGGCACAGCCATCTGTGTGCTAGAAGACCCGGCTTTTTCATTCAATTGTCACCCATATTATTTGATAAATAGGTACTTCTGAGGACTTTGTTCCAATTTGGTTTCTAAAAGCACATCCTGACTCTTACTCTCCTTCTGCATGCTGATATACATGCATTCACAGAGACCCTGCATCCTTTGAGACCATCAAAGGCAAATCTGGTGACAGTCTAACCCAATGGAATCCCATGAAGAGAAAGTTGTGTACTAGGATTTCTAGTTAATTACTAAGATATGGCTACAAGTAATGATGCTTTTCTTGTGCAACAGGTACTGGTTCCTGAAGATAACCCCAAAACTAGAAACCCCTACTTTGGCTAGCTTTATATAACTCAGCTATGAAATATTTTATAAATAGTAGTATTATTTAATGCAATCTGGTTGGATGGCATCACCAACTCAATGGACATAGTTTGAGCAAATTCCAGGAGATTGTGAAGGACAGAGAAGCCTGGCGTGCCACAGTTCATGGAGACACAGAGAGTCAGACATGACTTAGTGACTGAACAACAATAACAACAAGTATAATTAAGCTGTGAAATATTTCATAAATAGTAATATTATTTAATACAAAGCACTTCACTGGAGTTAAAAGAAAATACTTCCTACCAATCTAAACAAATCTATAGAAATAATTCTCATCTTTAACTTCACTGACCAAGGAAATAGATTCATCTCATAACAATTAGTAAAAGAGACGAAACAAGATGACCAAGGAATCGGCAGAACAGGAGAGCCTCCAGCTCCAGGTTAAAGACCCTGGAGGGCCCGGACACTCCAAGACCAAGACCAGTCCAGGACTCTGCACCAGCACAAAAGTTGGGGCCACCCAGGGGTGGAATCTCCTCAGAACAAGGAAACAGGAAATCAGAATGTCCCCTCCACAGTTATCACAGGTTGGCAATCCATCCTGCCTCCACGACATATCTCCTTCAACAACATACAACCACCCAGAACCACTCCTACATGACATAAAAACAGCCTATGAGAGTCACAGCCACCTCTGACTTATTCCTCGAGATCAGGGCTGTCCAAAAGAAACAAAATGTGAGCCATGTGGTGTCATTTTATATGTTCAGCAGCCACATTTAAAAAAAAAAAATCAGGTGAAATTAATTTTTGCAACATTTTATATAACCTCATATATCCAAACTATCATTGCAACATGTAATCAATATAAATAATTATTAAGGAGGTATTTTTCTTTATTTATACCATCTTCAAAATTGGGTATTTTACACGCTTAGAGCACATCTCCATTTGCATCAGCCACATTTCAAGCATTCAATGTGCTGAGTGACCCCTGAACTGGACAAAACAGTTCTAGATCAGAGGTCAGTAAACAAAGACCAGCATAAGCTAAGAATGGTTTGTGTGTTTCTAATTGGTTGGGGAAAAAAATCACAAGAAGAAGATTTCATAACATGTGAAAATCATGTGAAATCAAAATTTCCACATCCATAAATAAAACTGTACTGGATCACAGCCACTTTCACTTACATATTGCCGACGGCTGCTGCGATGGCAAAGTTGAGTAAAGACAGCCATGTGAGCCACAGAGCATAAAGTTTTCCTATCTGGCCATTTATAGGAAAAAGCTTTGCTGCTCCCTGTTCCAGCTGATCATGAAACTGAGCTGTGACAACGCTATGAGAGACACGTGGACCGGAGCCACAAATGTGCAAGCAGATGACTTTCCAGAATGTCTAATGCCCAAATGAGACACCCTCTCAAAAAATAACACACATCACACAAAAGAGCTTGTGTACAACTTCAGAACAGTTGTTCAAAGTGTAACTAATATGGGACCCTATGCACTCCCTCTCAGCTTTCCTCTTCTCCAGGCACCAACAAAAAAACGCTGGGTTCCACATTGCTTACACCTACGTGTTTCCAGCTACAGTATTACAAAAGTGGCGCCTGCAGGAAGAGGATTTACCCAAGTTAAACCCGGTCTTTACTAGTGTTGACCAAGTGAAAAGTGGGAAAATCAGGAAATCACTGAGGTTATGCTTTAAAAAATAATGGTAATTTTAAACATGATCACAGCAAAAGACAAAAGCAGGCTAACTGTGCATAAGAAAAAGAGTAGGATCATGGGACTATAGGCAATCTCATTCCCACTTTACTCTTTATAATGATCTTTTACAGATAAAAAAAGTTCAGACCTATAAGAAATATCAGGATTTTACCTCCATTGGGGTTTTTACTTTAAATAATATACATCCGAGAAATCTCTCTTTTCCCTATGGAAAGGAACAAATACATTTTCCTTCAAAATAAGTTGAAGAATTCTTACCATATTCTGAAACCTGAAATGACTGATAATATGTCTGGTCCTATCGGAGAAAAAAAAAAAGACAAGAAAATAAATGAGTTTCTATTTAATTACTTCATTTGTTTACTCACCTCACAAAAATATTTAGAAAAAGTTTTAAATTACATTTATAATTATTTAATGAACAAAACAATTTATTTCAACTTACAGAAGTTTATTTTTAATCACCTGCAACATAAAGTCTGTGAATTTCATGAGTTTTTCTTAACAATCCACTAACATAAAAAGGTGACCTGTCTCTTTAATTCACTGCGGTCACTGAAACAAACTGCTTAACCTGACTTTCCTCATTTGTGAAATGAGAACAAAATTAAATCAGATAATTTATGAAGCATGGCAAACTAACAAGAAATGACTTCAAATTTGGTTTGTATATCCCTATTAAAGCTAACCAGTGAAGAAAATAAAATTATACATTATTCAAATATATAAAATAGTCGAGGATACAAAATCATCATGGACCAATACCCTTTATCTTCCTAATTGCCTGAAGTATTTTCTACTATAATCCTTAAGTCAATATACTCTACCCTATTTTAACAGATATCATTTCTTTTTCCAAGATCAACAAGAAAACGTGTGACATCCCTTGTTTGTGGAATCCAGAAAGACATGATACAAAAGAAGTTATTTACAAAACAGAAACAGACACACAGACTTAGAGGAGGAACTTCTAGTTGCAGGGTGCAGGAGATGGGCAGAGGGACACTTAGGGATTTGGGATGGACGTGTACACACTGCTATTTTAAAATGGATAACAAGGACCTACTGTATAGCACTTAGAACTCTGCTCCATGCTACGCGGCAGCCTGGATGGGAGGGGAATTTGGGGGGAGAATGGATACATGCATATGTATGGCTGAATCCCTTTCCTGACCACCTGAAACTATGACAACAAGGTTAATCAGCTATACCCCAACACAAAGTCAACGTTTAAAAAACTTTTTTTAAACAAACAGAAGGAGCTTTCCCCAAAGTAAACAACAACAACAACAAAGAAAATGTCTGGCCTAGAATATCTTTTTTCCCCCCAACTCCTCATATTTCTTTTTTTTTTCCCATTTATTTTTATTAGTTGGAGGCTAATTACTTTACAATATTGTAGTGGTTTTTGCCATATATTGACATGAATCAGCCATGGATTTACATGTATTCCCCATCCTGATCCCCCCTCCCACCTCCCTCCCCAACTCCTCATATTTCTATCTGTCCATTCCTAATCATAGGTGACACATTAAACAGAACCACTTCAATATAGCTAAGAAATTCTACTAAAGAAATGTATATTCCAATTCTGATTCCCTAAGTTTACCAAAGCAAATAAATAACATATTGGCTTTTTAAACAATCATTATTTGTTTAATCTAAAGCAACTCTACATCTCCTAAACTAATATGATAGTATAAATCAACTATACCTCAATAAAAAATAAAATTTTAACAAATAAAGTGCACAACAGCAATTATTTTTTAATCCTTAAAGGATACAGTTCATTTCAAAGTATAAGACAAATGAAACTACTTACACTTCAACAAAATAATTGTCTAAAGCTTGGCTTCAAGGCTGTCATTTAAAGTAGATCCCAAAGATACTGTGTTGATCAGTCTTTAAGAATCTCACATTTGTCCCTTCTATCTTAAAGTGTTTTCATGTCACATACAGAAATGGTATAAGTCAATGGTTTTAATTCATTTATGAGTTTTGATTTGTTATCCCCAAAAATCAAATCAAGAAGGTAAACTACCTGTAATTTTACTGATAACATAAGAATTCTAGTCTTTAAATTACTTTTTGCTTTATGACTGGTAAGGCTGTGAACAAGCAATTTAACAATGATGTCTGCTGATCAAGTTAAATTCATATAGCAAATGCCAAGTGAGTATCCCATGTAAAACATGGCATGAAGCTCTGTAAAAGTTAACTACAGCCCTCAGCATCAGTCTCAAGATGGAGCAGACACAGTCCAGAGCAATTCTGCAAGGCAGATAGTACCCTAGACTTTCATGCACTGGGCTTCTGCTCTCAGCTCCCTACGCTTGACTGACACACACTTCCACCTCTAACCTGCCAAGACCTAGATCAAATAGTAAGTGCTTCCCTGGATCCCTGATCTAAAAGTAAATCTCTTTAATATCGTATGACATCCCTTCTATGTGGAATCTAAAATGAAATGATATAAACTAACTTATTCACAAAACAGAAGGAGACTCACAGACTTAGAAAACAAACATAGTTGCCAGGGGGAAGGGATAGTTAGGGAGTTTGGGAAGGTCATGTACACACTGCTCTATTCAAAATGGATAACCAACGAAGACCTATTGTATAGCACCTGGAACTTGACTCAATTATGTGCCAGCCTGGACAGGAGGCTGGCATTATTCTTCTTTAGGGAAGAATGAATATATGTGTGGGCTTCCCAGGTCGCGCTAGTGGTAAAAAACCCACCTACCAATGCAGGTTAGACATAAAAGACATAGGTTCCATCCCTGGGTTGGGAAGATCCCCTGGAGGAGAGCACAGCAACCCACTCCAGTATTCTTGCCTAGAGAATCCCATGGACAGAGGAGCTGGGGAAGCTGCAAGTCCATGGGATAGCACACAGTTGGATATGACTGAAGCGACTCAACACACACACAGATACATGTATGTGTGTGGCTGAATCCCTTCACTGAGCACGTGAAACTACCACCACATTGTTAACTGACTGCACCCCTGTAACAGGAGGAAAAGGGCCAGGGCACAACTTTTGAAAGAATGACATAGCCCAAGGACACGACACAAACTGGTTAAAATCAAGGTGAGTCCAAGATGGCAGATAAGTCGACCTTGAGTAGACCTTGACCCTCAATCAGCAAGCTAAATGACACAACCAGAGGCGCCAGGACAGTTCCAAGGCACTGTCAAAAGACCAAGGAGTGGGCGGTGGCCCAGTCCCTGGAAACCTCCACCCCTTCCCAAAGCTAGTTGGAATAATCCTCCCGCTCATTAGCATATGAAATCACTCATCCTAAAACTAACCAGCCCACATTTCACAGCCAGCACTTGCCCTCTGTGATGGCCCACCCTCTGTCAGTGGAGTGAGCTTCTCTCTGAATCTAAATAAACCCACTTCTTACCTATCACTTTGTCTCTCACTGAACTCTTTCTCTGATAAGACATCAAGAACCTGAGCTTCATTAGGTCCTGAAACCAGTCACTGTGGGTTTTGGCTGGGTTTGAGTCCCAGCCACGTGGGTTCAAGTCCCAACCTGAAGTAAATGGTTTCACCCCAATACAAAATAAAGAGTTTAAAATTTGGAAAAAAAAAATGAAACTAAAATAAAAGTAATCTCTCTGCCTCCTTGCACTTCAGCCCTTCTTCATCACTTTTTACCCTGTATCCTAAATATTTAGGTACATGGCTTCCCTTGCTGCAAGTTCCTTCATGGCAAGGTCCATGTTGGATCATGTTTTTACCCTTCATAGTTTATCCCTTGACAGGTCAACTTAAAAGCGTGTCTGATACAAAAAAGTTCTCAGAATAACATGTTTTATATTGAATAAAAGTGCTAGCTTTGAAAAATGTAGAAAATTAATTTATTTGGGCCTCCTTTAAACAGCCTCGAAACCAACATTTAGGCAATTATTTAACACAAGTAGTTACATTAGATGACATTTGAAATGAAGTCTCCCTTCCTGCCTCCTACATTACCAATCATCCCTGACAATACCTGGATTTTCCATCTCTTTGTTTACTGTCTCCTCCCCTTCGTTCTGTCTATAGACGTTGTTATATCTTCTGTTCTCCTTGGTACTCTTGAGTATGTTTCTGAATCACTCCTTGTTTCCTTAATGGTCCTTTCTGATCTTGAAAGATTGGTCCTTCCCATCCTGAGCCCTGTGCTCTTCCCATAAGTTAGTTCATCAACCCTCATGGTGTTAACTGCCATCTCTACAGTGTTTACTGTAGTGTTTATCTCAAGCTGGAGATTTAGACTCAAATACATCTTCTGGGCACCTCCACCTGAAAGATCTAGAGAAAGTTCTGAACTTCTGGATTTCCTTGGTGGTTCAGTGGTTAAGAATCCACCTGCCAATGCAGGGGTTCAGTTCAGTTCAGTCACTCAGTCATGTCCTACTCTTTGCTATCCCATGGATTGCAGCACACCAGGCTTCCCTGTCCTTCACCAACTCCCAAGCCTTGTTCAAACTCATGTCCATCGAGTCGGCGATACCATCCAACCATCCCATCCTCTGTTGTCCCCTTCTCCTCCCGCCTTCAATCTCTCCCAGCATCAGGATCTTTTCCATTGAGTCAGTTATTCACATCAGGTGGCCAAAGTACTAGAGCTTCAGCATCAGTCCTTCTAATGAATATTCAGGACTGATTTCCTTTAGGATGGACTGGTTTGGTCTCCTTGCAGTCCAAGGAACTCTTAAGAGTCTTCTCCAACACCACAGTCTAAAAGCATCAATTCTTCAGCACTTAGCTTTCTTTATGGTCCAACTCTTATATCCATACATGACCACTGGAAAAACCATAGCTTTGACTAGACAGAGCTTTGTCGGCAAAGTAATGTCTCTGCTTTTTAATATGCTGTTTAGGTTGGTTATAGCTTTTCTTCCAAGAAGCAAGTGTCTTTTAATTTCATGGCTGCAGTAATCATCTGCAGTGATTTTGGAACCCAAGAAAATTAAGTCTCTCACTGTTTCCTTTGTTTCCCCATCTATTTGCCATGAAGTGATGGGATCGGATGCCATGATCTTAGTTTTCTGAATGTTGAGTTTTAAGCCAATTTTTTCACTTTCCTCTTTCACTTTCATCAAGAGGCTCTATAATTCCTCTTCACTTTCTGCCATAAGGGTGGTGTCATCTGCATATCTGAGGTTATTGATATTTCTCCCTGCAATCTTGACTCCAGCGTATGCTTCATCCAACCTGGCATTTTGCATGATGTACTTTGCATGTAAGTTAAATAAGCAGGGTGACAATATACAGCCTTGACGTACTCCTTTGACAAT